AAATAAATTTTCTCTCATTAATGCAATAGCTAGGAATCCTTCGCACATTTTTGGCACTACGAATGCATAAATGCATGCGTAATTCCTACATGGATCCACTGCCCTTCAAGGCTCCAATGAAAAGCCGGATACAAAAAGGTGCGGTAGAATTGGATCGACGTCTTGGATTTCAATGCGCTATTAAAATTGTTGGTTAGAACACCTCTAGATTTCGCTAACTTTCTAACTTTGTACCCATCACTCCCCATATTTCTGCCTCCTTGTTTAAAAAAATGGAAATACGAATTCCGTTTTTCATGATGAGAAGACAGAAGGTTGCTCATATAATATTTCTTTCAAAATGTCTATCGTTCTGGAAGATTTAGCCTTATTTGTGGCCAATTTTTTCTACGTCTTTAACTTACTTGAACAGTACCAGCCGCACAGAGTTTACGTGGATGAGTAGTGCACCCCTCATAATTCAGAGATTGTTTTGAGGTTTGCATTGAGGTCGTGCGTGATCACAAGGCGCTCCACCGCGGTCCACTTATCTTCTATATTTTATTCAAACCGTCTTCAGAACTTCGGCGCCGATGTTTTAGACGCCTTGGCAAGGGCAGCTACTTTCATTTCAAAATCTTCTTCATTATGCCTTTGCGCCCCTTGCGTACCCAGTCGAGTATGAAGAGCTCAAAAGCGATGATCCAAGTGAACTTAGCGAGAGTGTTCTGAAAGGTCTCCGATATTGAGAATCGGCCTACTTAATTGTTTTTAACATAAAAAAAGGCCTGCAAACGTTCATCATATAAGGCTAAAGTGATGCACTCTGCATGAAGTAGGCGCTCAGGTGTCTAGTTAAATAACTCTGCTTTATTTAACCAAAGATTAGATATTCTGCTTGGTGTTTTATTTTATATCTTGTTATATTATTTTAATCTTAACCCTTTTTTACTGCCTTTTTTAATGGAAGGGTATGTTGCGAAATATAACTCGTATATAACGGTGAGATATTTGCAAAATCTCCAGACTACAGCTGTACGCTGTGGGGAACGAACAGGCGCTGTTGTCCTTACCGGGGAGCAGCGCACTTCACCACCACACCATCCGGGTCCTTCGTTTTGCCTGTCTCTCAGCTAGTTCTATCGATCTTTTTGCCATCAGCAATCACCCGTCAACGGGATTGATCTGGGGAGCCCAAGACAGACAAAACGAGACAGGTAAAACGAAGGACCCGGATGGTGTGGTGGTTAAGTGGGCTGCTCTCCGGTAAGGACAACAGCACGTGTTCGTTGCCCACCGCATACACCTGCGGTCCGGAGTTTTGCAAATATCTCAGCATTACATACGAGTTATACTATTTCATTTCACGAATTTGGAAAATGAAACTATTTAAGTATTTTTCGTTTTTAATCTTATTTACATTCTGAGTTTTCGGAAATTCAAATCTTCAGCACCAACAAAATCCAAATTTCATGGTTTCCAGGACAACCGTCCGAAGTGCGAATACCAGCGATGTCCGGTCGTGTTGATGTGAACGAAGACAGACTCACGGAAAACAACGAAGGCGGAAGGCAGAAAAATAAAAAAAAAACAGTTAGAGCTCTGCAATCACATTTTGTAGTAAATATGTATTTCTTATATTGTTAATGCGTTATCATTTTGAAGGTGATTGACCGTTTGACGCGTTTTCTAACACTTAGTTTACAATGCATTTACACTGGTCGAAATGAGTTCTCAAGGAATAAAAATCGTATCATTTGGCCTCATGAGTTTAAACTTCGACACGGTTTCGTGGAGTCATCTCGAGATGGCACTAACGCATTTGTGATCATTCTAGCTTTTCGATAAAGGGGCGCATGTGGCGCAGTGGTCGAAGACGCCATGCGGCACATACGTGGAATCGATCCCCGCGTCCACGGTCCACCAAGCCTTCCATCCCTCTGGGGTCTGCAAATTGGTACAAGACTTGTCTGGGAGGATAGCAGCACTGCTTCGATAGATCGATAGGCCATCACGAGTTATTGTAAAGGCCAAATATGAATTCATTCACCTCAAAACGATGCTTAGTGAAGTCGAGTGCATGGCGCATTCCTCAGGAACTGATCAAAGCCGAGAGCTTTTTTATCTTTTTATTAACTTTCAGTAGTTGGGAATTTGAGGAGTTGAGTGCTTCATAGAATTTAAGACGAGATTTTTTTCATCGCTTCAAAGAAATATATAAGGTTTTTAAAGTGCTCTTGTAACTTCCAATTTCCCTCAAGTTCGGATTTTTAAAGAAGACGAGTTCAATTCCAGTGCTATCTGTCCAAATTAACAAAGCTTACTATAAGGTCTCTTAACATAAAGACAAAATATGCGTTGTTTTCGTTGCGCATAAATCATGCATTATTCAAGCGGTTACGAATATGTTAAAGCATGTGCCAGGAGATTTCCTCTGAGCGAAATGCGCAGATGACTCGAAGGGCCTCACTTCAAAGATATGAGGATTCATGTTGCAGGAGGTTGTGACTGACCATCGCCGACAACCATCTTAAGTGTTAAACAAAGCCTCCTTTCTAAAATTCATTTGAAGGACAAAAAGCCGTTTTGAATAATGCTTGTTAAGTGAAAGCCACACGAATTTAGCGGAGACGGTGTCGTCGTCACTAAGTCAGGGCCACGCTTTTTTTGTGCAATGACAACAAACTATTTCTCGAATGTATTGTGATTTGCCAGAAAAACCACTTTACCTGAAAACTGACGTTGTCAAAGACCAATAGGAACTCCTGAATACTTTCTAACGCGAAATTTTCACTAAAAAAATATATGGTGCTTTTCGGTGGTCCACTGCTGGATGATTCAACTTTCCGAATCTTGACGAGACGATCATAGCGAGGAGTATAATCACGAGATCAGTAGATCAGTAGAGTAGAAAGTAGTAGAGATCAGGGTGTTTACTCAGCTTTGACGAATAGAATGCGTCAAATTCTTCTATAGGACAACGCTCGATCACAACGGTGAACAAGTCGAACAAAGTAGACCACTGAACTCTCCCTCACTTAACATATCTGCCTTAATTCTTGTCCTGGGACTACCACATTTTCAAGCACTTCGATGTTTGGTTTCAAGGAATAATTTTCAAGACTCATTCCACTGGCTAATAAGCACTCAAATAAGTCGTCCTTCCCATCGTTTCAAAATTGTGATTTAATGAAGCAAATGAACTTGTATCATGGAACTTGTAACGTATGAGCAGAAGTGTAGTGTTGTGACCTCTACAATTAGTTACCATTTATGGGACTCGTGTGATGTCGCCCAAAACCCACCATTAATTTCGAAGTTACCTAGTGATTCGAGTAACACTGTTATTACGTTAAAAATCACGCATACAAAGCCAAAATGGGCGAAAAGTCACGAATCACGGAAGAACAGCATGTAATTTAAAAACGATTTTGCTCTATAGGCGCTACATGAGTGAATGAACCTAATCGGCGAAACTCTAAGGAGAGGCGCTTTCAGTTAGAACAACGGTTCATGTTTTAATAAAATGAAAAGAGAACGTATAACTTTAGCAATTTTTTTGCTGAATATAGTCCAGTAAATAGAGAAGAGTACAGTATGACATATAGCGGCCACAATTTACATCCTAAAGAATAGTATTTCGATTTCACAGAAATGAAAAGCCGCTTAAATTCACTAACTTTACTCATCATTCAAATTTATTAAGTTTTCTTTTTCATGAAAAAAAAAACAGTTGTTGTGGAAGTTCTTTTTGCATCAATCAATCATGACAGCACTGCTCAGATTTCATACGGTAGTCGGTGGATTTCTTTGGATTCAGTCTTTAGATTATTATAATTCAGTTATTTTTATTATTCCTTCGAAAATTTTTTCCCTATGGTTGCTTTTCATTCACTCCGTTCGTTGTCTCGCAGGCACACGCCGACTTTTGTAAACCCGGAAGAAGCTTTTCTCAAAGAAATATGATAGCAATTCGTCGATGCCACATGGATGGAGTGCATTGTTTGGCCTGTACGTAGAAGGTCGAGTGAGCATTGTAGGACCACGTCCAAGCACGGAATTACATTCGTTCCGTGTTTGGTCTTCGATTACGCTAAGTTTGAAAAGAAAGACCAATAATTCAAAAGTTTAACAAATTTTTGAAAAACCTAAGACATAGAGTTTAAAACAGGATGTGGACTGTTATGTCGTGCTTGTTCGATAAACTAGTTGTATGAATAGCTGTCGTCCTGGAAAAGCTGTTCTTGGTAGCAGTATAACCATTTTGGATTCACAAAGGCTGGTGAGTATCTTTGTTGATAGACTTAGGATGTACTAACACAGCTAACTTGAGGGGAACGCTCGAATAGCATCCAGCATTTTAATGAGGAGTATATGTTACAGGTCATAAAGACGCAGCTAAACCTCTGGGCTGAATCAAATCATTTTATGAACAATGGCTGACAACGAAATGAATGTAACGGCCGCCCAGTTCCGTACGTTGTTTGGGAATGTGACAATAGTTCAATTAATAATAGTCTATCGTAAGCGGCTGCTTCTTGTTCTGACGCTGTTGAACCAAATATTAGAATTTTTTTTAGAATTGTTTAGTTAATTAAAACGTTTATTGATAAGCCTTCTGCAATGACAACCTTAATAATGAGAGCATGCCACAAATTTACAAAGATCTTCCTCATTGCTTCGGATGGAAAGCTAAGCTGGGTCTGGTTTTCTATTTTCGGAAGTGTACGATGCCGCAATGAAAGTCGATGTTCGCAAACACGAGAAGCCGTGCTTTTGGGAAGACTCGCCGACCGTCGTCAAACCCATAACTGTAGGATTCGTTATCAAACACGTATTCACCACAGATGTGTCATCTCTAATGTATCACGTTTTCAGGTCAGTATATTACGTTAGACTTATTTGACGAATTTGTCATAGCTGATTGTGTATGCTCAAAGATTCAACTAACATTTCATAAGTTTAACGAAAGTATCCTTGTACGATTAGTGCTTGTTCTCATTTGATCCAGGAAACATGTCGAGTACAGTTTTCTGCCCTTTCTTGTCGCTTTTCCAAATGTGATGTGCATAACGTGCTATGAGTGTACTTCAACACAAGGTCAAGAGTGCAAGTACACAGCAACGTCATGTCAGTATGGATTCTTCGGATGTGTCAAAATTGCTGCCTTTTCTGGAGGAATCGACAAAAGTATGCAAAGCAATACTGTATTTGAGTTACTTAGCAACTTTGAAATTTTCTAGGTATTCTTTTATAAGCAGTATACTTCTTAATTTTTAACCAACAATGTAAAAATCACATCTATGGGTATTGTGGATAGCCTCGAAAATATAGCAACAAAAAGAGTGGGAGTTCACTGAGTACGATTTCAGTTCTTTGAGCGCGTGTGGCGCAGTGGTCGGAGGCCCACTGCAACACGCACGTGGAATCGATTCCCTCGCCCATGACCCACCAAGCCTTCCATCCCTCCAGGGTCTGCAAATTGGTACCAGACTTGTCTGGGAGGATAGCAGTGCTGGCTCGATACATCGGTAGGCTACCGCGAGTCCTTGTAAAGGCCACATATGGATTCAATCACCTCCAGACGATGCTTTAATGAAGTCGAATGCATGGCGCATCCCTCAAGAATTGATCAAAGCCGAGAGGTTTATCCTTTATCCTTGTGATTTTAGCTCTTCAAACCGAAATTTGAAGATTTATACACATAGAGTAAGAATTAATATCCGAAAAGCACAATGCTTAATGTTGGTTTGGTTTTTGTCTGACAAGTATTTCTGATTTGGAGAGAAACCAAAACACTGAAGTGCTTATGTCATACTTATGCATCCATCATTTTTAGTGGGAATGTGGTACGACCAAGACAGACGAATAATCTCAATGATTAGAGGATGCGCTATAGTGCCATTAGGAGGTAAATTGTCCTAAATCATCCAGTTTTTTTCTAGTCGCGTATGAGTGCACTTTCACAGATTTATTCAGGGGTTGATATGTGCGAGCAGACTTCAATCCTCGGCACCAGAATATTGAAATGTACGTGCTTCAACGACTACTGTAACTCTTACAATGATTTTACGCTATTTTCCTACTTTGTTGTTACAACAGCACTTGTCTTTTTGTTCTCTTAGGAAAAACAATAAATGCTCCGAAGTGAACATTTCACCATGGTTATTAGACTCAATAATGGGAATGAATTAATAACACACTATAATGCTGGAAGTTTCCAGGCAGTTTATACTAATAAATAAATACATCACTCTGATGGATCATCCATAGTCGTATTCCTTTCGGAATGTTTTCTTGTGTGCAAGATGTTATGCGCTGCTGCACGTACTAATATTTATTGGTGATACGGTTCGACTAGTACGAGGGGAAATCGTTGAACGAAATTCGTGGTTGCTATTGGCTACTAAATTGAAATGGAAAAAAAACGAAATGAAAGAGATCAGTGGAAATCTGTGTAGATTTGTCAAACGCAACAATGAAGTGCTAGGACCCGACGATAAATCTCAAGTATGAGATGGCAATGCGAAACGAGAGGAAAAGAATGTCATCTTAGACGACTAACCACATCTGCACAGGGATCGCATCGTTCACTGATAAACATTCATTACTCACGCTCACAATGCCTTAGACTAATGCTTACAATCTACAAGCTAATTTGAACAATAATACGAAATAAATAAATAAAGAAACAAACAGTGCAAAATTGCAAAGTGAAGGTACTTGGAAAGGAAGAAATCTGTTCGTGATTCGACCATTTAGATGTAATTATGAATAGACAGGAAAAAAAGGAATCAACAATGATTTACACCTTGTCTGACTTACCTATGAGGGAAAATGAAAATTTTCTTGCTGAATTTTGACTAGATGGACGCTTCGGAGTGCATTCGATGAGCTTTGCTTGTTGATATGAACCGGGACTGTAATGGTACTAACGTCGGAATTGTGCCGGCACTGCTGGCAATTATTGACTTCCAACACTTTCTACATTGATACAATAGCAATTAAACTTCCTCAATCAATTACATTAAGTAGAATGTTAACTAAGCGTTGAAATAGAGATTATCCTAAAATAAGAGTTTTTCTAGTTGGAACCACCTAAAGTCGGTAATTCGCCACTGACTTTTGCTAAGAACTCATTTTCTGATTTGTGTGATTCACCGAAAATTCAGTGGTTCTGCAGATAAACTTTCCCATTACTTCAACCACGGAAGAGGATGAGAAACAAATTTACTTGTTTCAGCAAATAGTGAACAATTCTAGAAAGTCAGGAGAAGATATATAGAGAAACTACGAGATTTTTTTTTAAAATGCTCGCTTTGTTTTAAATGTGTAAAGCAAAGGAAACCACACCTTTTAGGAGATTGTTGTTCCGGTCTGACGTTGATTTTGGAGTGATTCGTACATGAAGGAAGAACTATTACTCGACTACCGATGTTCGCCTCTATAAGAGCTGTCGCATTCCTCCACTGCATATTTGAAGAATTCAAACCTGAAGCCACAAACAAGGTAATTGTGCATAAAAACCAACTGCTCCATAAAACACGCAGCTACCATCTACTGGTACCAAAATCGGATGCATCATCTTCGGTGAAAAATTACTTTTAGGGGACAAATTGAAAGGAGAAGGGAAAATTGTACACTGAAGTAGCATAAACAGTGAGTTAAAAGAAGTTTTGGGGACTGTGTTTAAATCCATTGATTCGCCTTATTAAGAAGTTTGAGAATAAATGTCACATGATTGCACTGTTTAAGCAGTAAATCAGCAAGAAGATCCTACGAAAAGCATTTACATTTTGCTATTTTTATTATCTCGCATACTGTTTTGAAGCAAACGGCAAACTGCTACACAAATTGCCAAACCAGAAGCCATAAAGCATTCTTGCTAGTAGATCTAGTTAGTTGATATCGTGAAGTGCCCTTGCTGCAAACGTTTAGGTCACCATTTATCAGCAAGCAATAAGGAAACAATAAGGCAAGAGAACTTCACATAAAAACTACTTTAAAAGCCTTGTTTACTTCAGCAGTAAAAATACGTGCAGAAAAGCCATCATTACCTCGAGCAGAATTGGTGTTAACCTGAAGATGTAAGAGTTTGAGACTTACAAGTGACTCCTCACCAGTTACTGATGAACACTATAGAAGGAACAAAGTGCACTTTTCAAAAACAACCTAGTAATGCCTACCATTGTTTGATGTAGTACTCCCTACTGAACGCATTGATGGAGATTGAGAGTACGGATCAACAGATAGACCAGAATCTTTATCCTGAAGCAAGAATAGTTGTGAATTGTCAGAAACGGGTAAGGCTCATTGTGTTAATTCAAACTCTCTTAAATAAGTATATTTTCATTAAACAGGATAAAAAACGAAGCATTCGGCACTAATAATTCCTTAAAGGATGCGACATGGATTCGACTCCATTCATAACATCGTTAGAGGTGATTGAATGCATATCTAACCTACACAATGACTTGTGGTGACCTAACAATCTAACAAGTCAGTACTGCTATCCTTGCAGACAAATACGGCACCAAAATGCCGACGGCGGAGGTCTGGAAAGCTTGATGAGTACGAGGCACGGAAACGTACTAACGAACAGGTGCGTATTGCAGGATAGCTGCAACCACTGCACTGTATTCCTCCAACATTTGCTTCACATCAGAAAATCTCAACGGTATTATTGACAAATGATCAAGTCACGATTTCATAATAAATCATTCTAGAAGGTCCTGAAGAAGATTCAGTAATTCGATTTGTGGTTTCAGAGAACGAGCAAATGCAGAGTGGTCTCAATGAAGATAAGCACATAATTATCCCCATTCTTTGTGGTTTGTATGGAGATCTACGACAGTTTTCGTTACAAACCAGTTGCATTTTAATTTTTGGATAAAGAGGAACTAACTCACTCCAGATCGTCCCAATATATTCATACTAGCGTTGCTTTCCGTATCAGAACAGGCGCTGCTCACACTCGAATCAGACAGTCGCCGTGGCCGAACCATTAACGCTGCTTGTTGTGCTCGTTCAGCCCTCAAAGCTCAATAGTGTTTGATGAAATACCTCTGGTTATGTCAACCTCTGATTTTATCACGATTTCTCATTCACGAATTAATGCTCAAATGAAAAACTGCAGATATAGCACTATGTAAGCAGATTTCTACAAAATGCTTGAATATTTGAGTAATAGAGTAAACCGTTTACTCTAGAAATGGGATGACCAAAAGATTACAGCTAAACACAATTGGTTTTTCGATGCAAATATTCAACTATTTGAAAAATACAGCAAGAAACTTCATCTGCATTCGGCACTCTTTCTGAGTAATGATTTCAATTTTGTCATTCATTGTGGAAAAAACGTCCCAATATACATGACGGATAAAAGATAAAGGATAAAAGTATTCAGCGTTGGTCAATCTTTGACGGGAGCGCCGTTCATTCGACTTTATTAGTTGTCGTTAGAGGTCACCGAATACATATCCGACCTAAACAGTGATTTACGGTAACCTAATGATGTGTCAAGTTATTGTCTCCTCATTTTCCCAGGCAAATGTGGAACAATTTACCGACAACGAAGGGAATGTTTCGTACCATACTTTATTGCTTCGTTTTGGCAACATTATGTAGACAGCGTTGCCTCGACAAGTGATTTCGCGCTCTGATTACTACTACTCTCTAGACAAAAAAAAAACAGCCATGAAAAATGTAATAATTGCTTGCCGTTGTTGAGTGGAACTTTGTAAGATCGATGAAAGGTGTTCTACAAGTCGTTTGAACCTTCGAATTGGACCTAAAGCAAAGGAGGACAATGTATTCTTAAAATAAGAGTAAAAACGTTGCAACTATTTACAAAAAACCCGTTTTTATTCCATTGTACTTGTACCCTCTCATACTCACCTGCTAACAATACAAACTGGACGACATATGTCGGCGTTTCACCAGCTAGCGTAACCACCTGCTGAGAAGAAACAATGTCCACCTTCAATGAATTGAATCTAAGCTAGCGCACACTAAAGATACATGTCTGAGTCGAAATAAAGGAATAATGGCAACGAACATTCATTTTAACTCCCCGACTGAAAACACCTCCCCCAACAGTTGGCCCTCGCTTGTATTCCACCCGAAAGCAGTTTTGCCCAACGACGCAATGACTTAACTCATGTATCTGAAAACGAGTGGCGATGAGGTTCAAGCAAATCATGGAAAAAAGTGTGGTGGGGTAAAAAAACAGGAAAAAGATTCACCGTCAAAAATGCTCGAATGAGTTCAGCTTTGATGGCATTGAGCGTCTTTCCCTGCACAGGGACACAATGAGTGTCATCGCGTTCAACACTCATGCTCGATGTCAGCGATCCGAACCAAGACTTTTTTACCAGACTGAATGAGATAAAAGTGTTCACTTAGAAACAAAGCAAGAAATTTCTAAAGATAATCAGCAGCGTTTTGCCTGAGTTGCGCACTTTAGAGATTAAAATCAAATACAGTGCTCACTCGCTGGTGTCAATCATCTGACATTCCTCGTTATCGCTATCAGCCGAGCCTTTTGACATCTTTCGCCGATGGAACCGCGGTGTTCCAAGAAAAGAGTTCTTTATATTGGTTAATTTCGACTTCCACGGAACCGACGACATATTTAGGCTAGCTTGACTGCTTCCTAAAAATATAATCGGGTTCACATCTATTGAACGCTTTCGTAAAATTTAAAGAAAGCACGGCTCGGTATTCCCGAAAACATCGTCGGACTTTGTCGTTTTATCAGAGTTACATAGTAAATAAGGAAACAATAATATACATTCACTGTGCATAACTTTTATTTACTGCGTGTTATTTTCTTTTCACGGCAGGGTATTATGTGAAATACAAGCACAACGATGTTGAGAAATCTGCAAAACTTGGACTCCAGACCAGATTCGAACTCATGATTACGCTTTCCGAGGCTCACAGTTTCGCATGGCACCACTGAGATCCTCGTCTTGCCCTTGTCTCAGCAATCCTTTCAGTTCAAGCTCAGTTTAGTTGAAAGGTTCACGCAATAGCTGTTAATTGGGGTGGAACACTAAATATGAGCCAAATACAAGTCCTGCTCTAGATGGTCCCAACCATGTGTTTAAAATAAGAACACGGGAGCTGTTAGGTATTATTCGGGTTAAGACTGCCTCTCTGCTTCTGAGTTCTACTGGTTACCCTGAGCTACTGCCTAGTTAGGGGTTCTTTGACTACTTTGGACACATTACTTCGCTGAGATTGATCACACAATATAACACACAGTGTCCGAAGCTGGTTTTTTACAAACCGGTGATAATTATCGGATAACTAGAATATCTGAGATGAACTAAGGAGACTTAAATATTCAAACGAAATTTCGGCAGCCATAAACATCAACAACGCATATATGGACATCATTTTATAATAATAAAGGAAATATCGCCTCCTCAGTTACCACCATTTTCAAAATACGAATCTCAACCGAAAAAAATGCGCGAAGTAGTTTGATGGGCTTAAGAAAGTCAGCATTTTATCATTGTAAGACAAGAGGGCGTTCGCCGCTATAAACAAAGATTTCTGGAATATGACAGTTTCCATTACAACCAGTGATATATAGTGTGAGCACTGAGACAAACTGGTTTAAATTTCAAAACAGCCTTCATTTTCGCACCGTATGAGTAGAGATCAACCGACTTCGGACCTTAACTGTTAATAATAATCATAATAATAATAATGATAATAGTGATAATAATAATGATAATAATAATAATAGTTATAATAGTAACAACTATAATTATAATTGCTATTATATTAGTAATGAGCAATTTTTATTATATATGACCTCATATCGCAAATATTGCGAGGATTTCAGCAGTTACTGAATCCATATTCAGCGAAGGATTCAGATCTGCGTATGGATTGATGCTTGAAGATTTTTGGTCTTTTCTATGAATGCCACTGATTGCTTGTGGAGCAGATTCTTTCATGTTAGAGCGTTCCCAGATTTTCACCGCAGTTTTCAGTGTTTTCGGATTGGAAGAAAGTTTCTGGACAAATCTGTTACTAATTTCCCTACCCCGATGCTGCTTCGAACTAGGTGCTTTGCGCCTATTGAACTACTTCGTTACCATTCCACTAACGGCTCCTCAGTAGTAACAGTAATAGATAAGAATAATAATTACAGTAACAGTAATAGTAGAAATAGGAATAGGAACAAATCGTAATGGCATGAATTTACTACTAGTGTTACTACTCGGCGGTTACGCCTTCTTCAAAGCATGGACAGGTCAAATTGAAACATAATCTGCTCAGTCAAATGTTTTCATAACTCTAGAAGATAAGACTTAACACATAAATTTTCATTGGCATAACAAACTACTTCACTTAAACACTCACTGTTTTTTTGTTTATAATTCCTCCAGTTACTGCTGGAGACCAGCTGTACAGAGACCATCATGAGCGAGGAATGTGCTTGGCTCGGGTCAAAGAATAAGACTAAGGTATAGCGCGAAGTCACGCGTGATCATATGACGCTGTTTCTAGCGATTTATTTCGAGATTTCTGTAAATTATCCAAAACACTGTAAGAGTTTAACGCGCTAATGTATTGGATTCCTACGCGAGTATAGTGAGTTTTACAATTCTCAGACGCCAAATAGTTAGTAACCGCCCTTATGCATGCATTGCTTAAGTCTATGCACAATGCGAAATTGCATAATTTGCCCTAACGGTAGAGACGGTTATTGCATCAGTTCGAATATGGTTTATCTGATTTCTTGTAAAGCGTATGGGGACGAATACAGTGACGAAATGTGTAGAGTACTCTACGCGCGCATAAAAGAACACCGAGTCGCTAAATTTAAAGTTAAACAAAATACTCCACCAAATGTACATAGAACACAGGAAACACACAGATAATGGAAAATATTTTGAAGTAAAGCCGCTACCTTAGCACAGGAATCGAAAACATCAATGGGTAAAACTCTTGAGACGTTTCTGGATTAATTCCAAAAATCCAAAAATCCAAAAGTTCAAAAATGAACAACAAGGGAGAGTGTATTGTGACCACGCTTGCCCTGACCCCATACCTCAGGCTGATTCTTTGACCTGTTGCAGGCTAATTCCTCACCCGTCTGATATTCTGTGCCACTGGTCTCCTCCACCTCAGTACTTAAAGCGCATAAAAAAGGTTAATGTTTAAAAGAAGCTGTTTATTATGCGAATGAGAATTGATGCCTTAAGTTTTATCTGCTGAGATTGTGAAAGTGTTTGGCTGGATAGACTACACGTCAATGTGACCTTTCCTGGATCTGAAGAAGGCGAAACTGTCGAAACGTGAGCTATGGTGAATAAATAAATGTTGTAACAACAATCATGTGTTTGCGCATTAAGAAAACACTGAATTACTGAAGTAAGTCGGTACTGGGGTTTACTGTTATTGTGCTGGAAAAATGCTATTTACTGTGACTACTTCACATTTCGTTACTGTTAGTTATTACTTATATTGCTGGTATTTTTTTTATTTTCCACAATATAATCGATATACTAGGTAAAGGAAATAGACTAAATCTTGTCACATGACCTCTCTGTTCCATCTATCAGGGTCACCTGTGCTGGGTAGCCAGTAATAACCTAGCACGGCTATCTCCGGCCTCTAGGGTTAAAGGAAACCTCGGTCGACTACAAAGTTCTAACCATATTTAAATTCCACATAACGTATGAAGATCCGTTATGCAACTATCTAAGTAGGAAAGTATCATTGTCATTTTGTAATCGTTTCATCAGCATTATTATAACCATTCCACCACTATTGTCACTACAATATCATCATTGACTATGACATAGTCATATTGATTAAATGGCTAGCCGCTGTCGAGAACAACTACATCAGCGTTTGAGACCGTTAGCGAAGCACTCATTTCTCGAGGGACTGAGGCTGACTATACGATGTACATCTCACTGAGGAAGACGTGCGTGTCTGATCGATACACGTGCAAGCAAGCAACACACCCCCGTCCCGTGCCATCAAGCATGGTGAGTGTCTTCCACTCATGGAGTCGGAAGGGCAGGTCGCCGTTCAGCCGTCGATAGCAAACCACTGAGTTCACTATGTTGGACTCAAAATACAGACTCCCTACAGCCCTCTTCTAGATACGGAATTGCTTTCTCTGCTTATTTCGGTCTTATAAATGCCTAGCTAGGAGAAGTTGAAATCCTTTTTCAACACCTTTCTAGTTATATATTCCTTTGTTCTTCTAAGGTTTGGATGAACATAAAACGAATTATCCACAATGCGTCATGAAAACAAAAACGTTTAGAACTAGTATTTTGTACAATACTACTTAATGAAATACCGTAGTCGTTTTTCCGGTACGAACAATAAGTGTTCAGAGCACATTGAAAGAAGTTTGAAGTTTTCAAATTAGAAAGGATGAAGTAGATAAAACAGTGAGCAGTTGCTGTAGTTTTCAAGGTAGTATCCCATTAATGAATTTACCTGTTATTAAGCTGTTGGTAGACGATGTAGTTGATCCTAAGCCAGTACTTATGATGGAGTCAGACATTTTTGGAGATGATTGACACTTGGCCTGAATAAGAACGTTTCACGCTTACTAATGTACTACTTGGTGAACATTTTTGATACAAATATTGCGTGTTATCGCATTATTGCATTTGTATGAAGCATTCCGCCCACCACGTGTCAAAAATATCAGGAGATTAACAAAAAATAAACACTACGTCTCAAATCAAAAGCGGCAGAACAACCTACTTCTGACATTTCATCACTTCGTGGTGATTGGAGAACCTCCACTCTGCCATGGCCATTGTCTCTCTCAGGAATTTCGCAATGCTCTCGTGGATCACGGGATTCCCGTCGTTCTTGTTCTTTTCGGACTGCCCTTACATGTCTAGCTGCTTCGGCCAGTGTGTGTGGATCCACTGGTTGAGTATAGTAGTGACAGTTGTTGGGATTTCTATTAAAAGAACATTCAAGCTCCTCCATAAATATTTATAAATAATTTACATGCTTCGAAAATTAGGTTCGTTAGGAGTTATCTACGCGATTCCGGTAGGAAACCTATTCACAAGACGGCAAATGGTCTAATCTACGGTCACCAGTACTCGCTAGTAGATATGTAGGCTGTCAAAAACGGTTCCGATAGAACCTGCATGGAGATCGTAGTGTAATATCAAGACCAATAAATGAGGATCATCCCCTAAAAACTGAATAAAATGGAAAAATACTTAGACTCTCGTAATTGTTCATACATTCATCGACGAGCTAAACTCGTGGAGGAACTTGGGAAGTTCCCCGATACCCAAGACACATCAGTGCTTACGCTTCATTCATAAAGAATTAAAGAGCTGTCGTTTGTGATTGGACTTGCATACTTAACATCAAGCCGGGCTTTCTTTTTCCGAGCTATTATGTTGAAGCATAATTCTCTGGCAATTTCTGTTCAGAACATTTTTTGTTGACGTTTAGAATGATTTACACCATATTGCTATCTTGATGCATGTTACGAACGCTTGGTAGAAAAAGTGTAAAGGAGCACGATGAACGTAGGTGGGAAAGCAACACAAGATCGAGATCTATGACGACCAAGTTGGAATAATCACGCTCTATTAATCGCTGCTCCAAGAGATGACACGTGTTGCAAAAAGCATGGAGAGCACCGCATCCAGGCGCTTTTCCTATGGGATGAAAATACGCGGTAGCCTATGCTCTAAACTGCTACGATAAGTGTACAACCTGGCGAAATACAAATCCAAAACGATATCCAGGACAGAATGGTGAAATGGTGAGGAAAGAATTGGGGAATAATATACGAAACGATTAAAGAGAGCCAATAGAGTGGTTCCGTTCATAAGGGAATTCTTATGCGGCAAGATGTATTTGTCATGAACATAAATTAGTAACGGTTATTGATGGACTTTTAGATTATGTGAGTGCCGCAATACACTAAGAAGAGCATCTCCATGGTAACGTCTATACGAGAACGAAAAGGAGTAAACGTTGTACGTGGATAAAAATGATTCGTGAATGAAGAGAATCTGTGTGCTAAGAGAGGCAAGCATGTGAGTTAATGGACGATTTACAAAAAATAGTGATGTATTCATATTTTAGATCCTATTTATGCTTTAATGATGAAAGCATTAACATTTCAACGTTTCACACCTGAATCACAGAACCCTGGCTTTTGCTACATTTTTCAGTTCTACTAGATTATAAGTAAATTCCTGTTCTTCTATTAGCAACGTTTTGCCTTCCCAAGCATTTATTACCCTTCAAACTTAGGAAGTAAATATGACACAAACTTCGTCACCTTGTAGCTATTGAGTTCGACCAAGCTCAGGAGTACGAAATGAATCAATAGCTCAGTTAAAACTATGGCTTTCAGGGTCAGTAAGTCAAGAAGCAGTATCTTGCTGCTCTTAGATAACCTGAAGAAAACCACTTCACCTGGAGGAAGATCGTCCCCGCTCTTCATTTCGAGGTGAATACACGCCACTGTTGCTACTCGTGTAAAGATCTCGCAATGAAGAACGTGGTGACTCTGTAGGTGATCCGCCGAGGCTACTGTGACGACCCGATCGATGTCGCCTGCAAACTCTTCCCGACATTTAAACTTTTCTACAGCAGTGGAGCTTTATTTGTTTGTAATTTCTGGATGATTTTTATTAGGATCTTTAAGTTCGGAATACAGCTATTTTCAAGGTGCACTCCCAAATAAACCGTCTCCGCTACATGCAGTTAACAAATATCAGTGAATAACGAAGGAAATCAAGATAACAAGAAATGATGAGTAATTATGAACGTTTAAACTTCCAAAGATAATAAAATCAAAAGATATAAACATGAAAAATGAAATCTGGGGCAGACATTAGCAAAAAAATTGTAGGTTGCTTGCAATGAACTTAATAAACTGGTTCAGCTGATCATCAGCAGCTGATTACCTCTTGAAGACATTTTGCTGCCACGTCTTATGAACTACATAAGCCGAATAGCACGTGAAATCCGTATAGCTTAAAACGACAACCCACCCGTATGTCTTTCTTGGATTAATGGGACTTCCATCAGCAATGCTGCCTACAGCATATCTGTTGGAACGTGCCGAATCCGTTCGTTTCTTAGGCGGATCGTTGTGCTGAGTGGACCCACGTAAAACGATTTCTGTCTCATCCTCGTGAGCTGGACGTCTCCGCTTTCTGTCCAACAACAGAAAATACACCATTTTTTCAGTGTTGTGTCTGAAAATGATGTTATCATAGGGAGTTTGACGTTTCTATTCGGAATACCACTGAGGTGTATAGTAATTCGAAGGGTTATCGTCGTCGCTGTAGCAACCAACTAGCGAGGAGGCAATTCTTTCTCGGATTCTTAATGACCGATACCTATTTAAATTCATGAGTCTAGCAGTCGACAACATAGCTGTTCGAGATGCCAGAGGGAGAAAATCTTATACGAAGAGCGAATTAGCAATCAAATAGGATGCCAAAGTCTATCAGACTTTTTGTGAACACGGGTATTTCAAGTATTAAACTACGAATGAAAGCTTATTTCTAGTTGAAGGAACAAATACAAGAAAACAATAGCCTAATTAATTGCTTTTAGTTGTACAGCAGTCCAATTATTAAATCTTTACTTGCCTTGTCGATAGTAATTCGTTAATAAGCTTTTGTTTGTCCTTGAAACATCCTAGACTATTCATATGCCGGAACACGTCTGGATCAATACTCTCCTCGCTTGGAATAACGTGCGTCTGCAAAAGCACTATCCCTGTTAAGAAATTCACGTCAAGAATAGTATCAGAAGGAAGAGAGACTGGGCAAAAAGACAAATTAGAGGTTAGAAGATATAAAGTGGATACGAAAAAGGTATGTGATAAAAGACCTAAAAAGCGAAATATATAAGAAATCAGAAAAAAAATAAAAAGATAAGGAAAACCTGCACAACTTGAGACATTGGTAGCTCCAGTTCTGGCTCGTTTTTTATTGTTCCTGCCACCCACGGGTGTCGAAAAACGTCCGATAACTGAGGAAATATGCAAATAAGAAAGGAAGAATACCGTGCTCTCAAGTAGAATTGATACTTTCCTTTACCAGGAAACATTATTTGCAGTTTCTCGGAAATGAAAATGTTCACCGAATATCGTTTGGCTGGATCGACTTCAATCATAGCGCGCAGAAGACTTTGCACTTCTGAAGGTACGAAGTGTGGTATGTGAAACGCTCCTTTCTTCACCTTCTCTAACAAGTTTCGAAGATTGTCGTCATCAAATGGAAGTGCTCCCTGGATAAAGAGGGACAACTGGAGACCTTATTTTACAATGAATGAAAAATATCTAGGCACATATAAAATTACTTTTCGCAACTAACCACTAGTAAGGCGTACAGAATGACACCGCAACTCCACACGTCAGCCTTGCGGCCATCATATTTTTCACCCTAAATATGATGATGAAAAATTTGGAAAGGCATCGAAATCAATAGTCATAGTTGTTGAGGATTGCGTTTTTTCGCTTCCACCTCACCCTGATTACTTCTGGACACGCATAGTGTGGTGAGCCACAACTTGTTTCAAGCATCGATCCTTCAACTTGAAGGGATGCCATTCCGAAATCGGCCACTTTAATGTTGTTTCTTTCATCTAAGAGCAGATTTTCGGGTTTCAGATCGCGATGGCTAGAACAAAGATTACTCTCTAGCGCTCGCTTAATATTAGAATAGAAATAGCATTCAAATCTAATTATCAGTTTTGTAAATTCTCTACCTATAAAAAACCCTACCAGATGTTGTGGGCGTGGCAGAAGTCCAGGGCTGATATTATTTGGCGAAAGAATTTGCGAGCCTCTTTCGACATTAACCGACCTTTCCGAACAAGGTAATCGAATAATTCACCTCCGCTTACATGTTCAAGTAGTAAATATCTTCAAAAAACGCTGGTTAGAAGCGTGATTCTAACGAAAAGTATCGAAAAGCCTAGGGTGAACTAAAATCAATAATAAACAAAAAAATCTTACAAATATTTTTTATTTTCGTATACATCGTAAAGGTGCAAAACATGTGGATGTTCTATAAGCTTCATGATTGCGATTTCTCGTTCCACCTGTAAAATATGTGCTTTGAAACATAAACAAGTTCGGACAATTTTCGCCATCCTTGCCTTAGAGACGCACACACCACGCAATCCTATAATCCTTCATGCATCAGACTTATTTGAATATTTAACATACTTCGCATTAAGCACAAATTTTACATGCTGGTTAGCTATGAATACATATTGATTGCTATGAATGCGTTCCAAAAACACTTCCAGCATTCCCAAGACCGACTTTCCGCGCGGATGCTAATTTATTTGTTAAGTTTCATCTGTTGGGGTTATGAAAGTGTTTGGTTAAGTAGATCGCATCTCAATTTGACCTTTCCAGGCTCTAAAGAAGGCGAAACCGCCAGAACGTCAGCTATTGTGTCCTAATAAATCCTATAATAACAACCTCGTGTCTGCTTATTGAAGAAAAACCTCCGACATAGATGTTGAAAATATCTTGTTATTACGGAAACTCATAGTGAACTTGCTAGAGTGAAAACCATTAAAATTTGCGCATCTTTTCGTATCTTTCTCAAGTTCACTTATTCTATCACAATAAAAGTCTGAAGTACTGGACTGCCGAATCATTGTTTTCTTCATGTTTTCCATCGACGCTCGCATCCGAGCATCGAAGCGATTGATCAAGAGGGATTCCACGGAGCAGAAGGCGAAAACACGTCCACGAAATCATCGTCAACGATGCTCGCGGACACTGTGAGTGCATTTAGAATTTCGAATACTCTTCTCTTCAATTGGAATTTTAAAAAAAGTCGTTGCCATTTAAGGAATACTTTCAGAAGATATGTGTAGGCTCAGGCGAAAGCGCAAAGCCTCTTCTAAGAATTCTCAAGTTCATCTCAAATACTTGAGTTAACGAGAGATTATTGGCGCTTCTGGAAAAACGCGCTCATTCGGGAGTCTGCGAAAAAAAATGTTGGATTAGCAAATACGTGAAGCCGAAGTGTTGACAACTTGCAAGCAAGTATGTAAATGCTCTGTTTTTCTAGAAAGAAACCTTTTGTTACCCACGTTACTTATGAAAATCGGTTGTGTTTTTAACGATAATTTGAAAGTTCCCATTATGAAGCTCATCAAGTACAACCAAAGAGTCTGCGAAATAAAGTCGTAAGGAGAAAAATTACAATTCCAAACTCCGTTGTTTTCTCAATTTATTAGTTCTAAGCATGTAGAAGAGGAGTATGTAGATCCTCTAGAGAGTATAGGATAACAAACGAGCAGTGGTGTGTAAAGGAACCCTACGTGAACCATTGCTGACAACAATATTTTAGAAGATTTATTAAAATCATATGTATATATAAGTACATATATATATATATTAAGTGGAGGAGGTATCGGGATGGATAGTCTTGTCCTACTACAGGCACTTACTCGTAAGTTCGATCACACACCCTTTTTTAATCAAGCTCTCTATCCCACCCAGATGAGCACTTGACAGTAGTTTTGTGTGGGATGGCAAAGGAAAAACTGTTGCATCGGTAGTCCAACAAAAGCAATTATATAGATCAAATATGAGTGCAATCTCTAGAATGCTTAATGAGGTTGGATGCACCACGCATCCCTATTGGATTGGTCGGTGCCGAAAGAGAATACCTTTACAGATTCACCAATACCTTCACATGCATATTATGATCTAAAATATTAACTGTAATGTTGTTGAATACTTATTGCAAATGCTCGACTCTCTCCTTCGTCCCTTGTTGTGAGAAAAGAGTCGAAATGCGCAGCACCGTATTCCTTCATGTAATCTATGTCCCAGTCTATGTAAAGCCTTGCGAGAGCATTAACATGATCCACTATCAATTTTTTAAAAGCTCGTTTATATTACTTACTTTTTGTAGAACAGACTCGCTTAATTTTTCTTTATTAACAATCTTGATTGCAACTTTTCGTCCCGTAATGCAATGTGTTCCCGTCTTCACCAGACCTAAAATACAAAGAACTTAAAAAATGCTTATGAACTGATGAACTTGATACATAAACAGTCATATGTGTTCATACGAAAGTTATTCTTAATAGTTAAAGCAGGTAGTGTTAAATCCGTGCCAGTTAAAACTGGTGATGGATCATGCAAAAATGAATGATCAAGGTCTGAAGATCGTTTGTGAGGGTAACGCGCGCAAACAAAACAGATCCAATTACTCAATTCGGGTGGTCCTAGGAGAGCGATCGAGTTCACGAAAGTAGTGGTGAGAATGATGATTGATGTGTTCTAGAGGACCTATGGTTGGTAATCTGCCGAATTCGATTTCTGCTGGTGTGTCCAGAGCGAATAGCTGGCCCGCCCACCCGTCGGCCCAGTCTCGGATTCGGGTGGGTTGGCGATGTGCTGCACGGCGCCAGTGGCGCAGGTGTCCTACGTTCTGGCAAACAATGAGAAACGTCTTCTCATCTGCTATTGTGTCCATTATTCTGAATTTCACCAAAACATGCCGCCATTTAAATTATTTGGCCTAGACAACCAAACATATAGCATGTTTGAAAATTTGAAAAAAAAACAGGAATTCAAATCGCAGAGATAATAGAATATCAGATGCTGGAAAGGTTTCATGTGATTGCAAAAATCAAATGGATAACTCGATGTTTTTCTTCAATGGGCAGATACGAGGTTGTTGTTATAGAATTTATTAGGATACAATAGCTGACGTTTCGGTGGTTTCGTCTTCTTCAGAGCCAAATGGATAACATTTTATAGCGCCAAGCACTCGAATGTAGTCGAATCGCAGTAGTCAAAATTCTTCTAATCACACTAAAATTTGCTATGAAGCAAATAATGCAGTTCTAGATCAAGGAACTTTTATCAGATTCAAAATTTCTGGATATGCCTGTCTCGCAGTCGACCTCGCTTAGAGCCAATGTTTCCACTTTTTGTCCACAGTGTATAGCTTATCAAATTGTAAATGATTAAGTAAGCGATGCTAAGAGAAACAGAATGTGAAAACGATTACCGGTCTGCCCTTTGCCAAGGGTCTTTTCCAGCTTGTAGGGGCCGCAGTACTGCGCTTGCTGAACTGGTCGTGAATTACTCACAGTTTCCGCCATTTTTGCGCTCAGCTCATCATTCACTGCCGTCAGTTTTGTGTTGATCTCTCCTAGCACTTCCTATGGGAAATAGTGTAACACATTCAAGGTTCACTGACGTTTTGTACAAGCAAGAGATCGGAATGTGGTAGTATGCAGAATTTTCAACACGCATCACCATTTCAGTGTAGTTTCACTGATGGCACCCTCTCTGTTTATTTATGAGGAAATACTTTTCTTGTGTGAGGTGCCCGTCCAAGGAAATGCGTAATACCAGCGTTAGAAATAAATAATCTATAGACTTTCACGGATAGACGTCTGGAAGAAAACTTACCTTCAGAGCGTTGATCATAGAAGATTACGCCCGGACGAAGACGGACGCAATCATGAAAAACAAACCTGCAAGAACAAATGTGATAGTCATCTATTAAAGTCGATCAGAGTGACCAAAGGGAATCGGAGTGGAAATATTTATGAAATGTCAAATTGAGACAAATTATGATGTGATTGGAAATTGTCTGAGAAGCAAATTTCTACTCGCACCACAAGTGCTCCAGACGTCAACTTAGAGACCAAAACCATGATTTTATCCGTCAGATATGACAAAAATAATGGCAGAAATAATAAAAACAGTAATAGTAATAACACTAGAAACCATTGCAATAACAGACGCAATAAACAATGTATAGGAAAACCATATGATTACTATTGCTAGCTGCTACTATTAATCCAGTTATGGTGGTTCTTATCATTAATATTACTGCGCTATTACTATTATTGGATCAATTTTCCACAAATGAGGAAATGCTCCTGATGAATCGTCAGGATTACGTATCAATATAACGGAAGGGAGATAAAACGTCGTTAAAAACCGGGCATTAACGTGTTCTGAGTGCTCTGAGATGCAAGTGGATTCATAGGACGAGGAGGGCAATGGTCCATGCTGAGACGGATTCATACATACCTTCTGCATACAGGTAGACAAGCAGATGCTCACGTCCAATAGTTGATTGAATGTGTTTGTACGTAATTTAAGTGTCAAGTCAGGTAAAAGCTTGTAATCAAGAGACGTGGAATTATGTAACGATCGATTTGGAGTCGCTTTCAACAGTGATGTTGGACGTCTGATCCAAGAAAATACGCCGCTCAATGGTGCAACGAGCTCCATTTGTTGGTATTCGCTCAAGTCACATGAAACTACTAAAGGAATTTCGGAAAATAAAAACGACTTTTATAATTGTACTCATTGTTGTCAACAAAACTATACTGCTTCTACATTGTTATTAATACTTTTATCATTATTATTACTATTATTAGAGGACAGGGAGCCAATAGAGCAGTGGTAGTGATGACGACTATCACGAGCAAGGTGCTGATTCGACCCTCCAGCAGGTTCACCAAGGTTGTCATTACTTCAGGTCGTGAATTTGCTACGAGAATTGTCTGGGTAAGTTCACTCTCTTCAATACAACTAGGAAAGCTCTAACCCGGCTTTCTCAGGGCTTTAGGGAGAATCGACTTGACTAGCATTCAACGACAATCGTGACGAAAGGAAAATCCTCAAGCAGCGGCCGTACCCACACGCAAAGGCCGAAGGAAGTGGTTGGTGGATAGGCGGAAACGAATTGAATGGAGAAAATGCTGCGATCCGCACAGTAGGCGTAAATGGAAGGTCGTGTAAAATAAAAAAAAAACTTATTATAGGGCGCATGTAGCGCAGTGGTCAGAGGTGGATTGTTTTACCCTCTTCGCCACTGGTTCTTGCCACCCCTCATGTCAGTGCCATCATCTTTCTGGGATTCGAAAATTCTTACTAGACCTGGCTGGGTAGAAAAAGGACAGGCTTAATAGACCTCGAGGCTCTTGCAAGTCATTATATACGTCAAACATGCATTAAATGTTCTTCACGATACTTGATATAGTCGAACGGACGGCCCATTCATGAGGGATTGATCAACGACGACGCTTTACCACTTTATCGTTATTGTTAAAGTAATGACAATAAACTATTACTGCTATTATTACCATTATTATTTTCAGCGCTGCTGGTTTTACTTTAGTGAATGCTATTCTTATTCAACACCACGTTCCAGGGGATCACCAAGTACCACATGCACGTTGCAGTACTAGAATTTGCGACGCACTGTTGACAAAGAAGACAGAAAAACATATAGAAATAAGATTTGAATAAGCACGAAAAATCCATGGCCTTCTGGAACACACCAGAAAGGTTTCCATGAGTCAGCATATAGAAGAATTTGAGAGATGATTGCACGAAACCTTACGGAAACAAAACTAGGTGATGAGATACAAAATAAAACTAGGAATCCGAAACGGATGAAATGGCACAACTTTATAATTCAGTTTCTTCAAATACTAGAGCAGAAGTTATTCGAGGAATTAAATTCTTGTTGGGACCTAAAGTTATACCACACGCTCCTTCTACAGTGGCAAAATGACACTTGAACTAGAATACACTTTTCAAAAGTGACTTGCCGAGTAAACAAGTGAATTGCAGCCGAAAGTCGAAGAAAGAAATAAAGGGAGTAAAGTGAGCAAATATGAAGTGAAAGAAACGAATCTATCCAGTGGTATAGGCAGAGTCGACAGTTTTATATGCTGCACATCTGGAGAGAAACGGTTCAGCAGATATGCGAATGTGGAAGCTTACCGCGTTGTTCGTTCCAGATTTGGCTAAGACTGCCAGGACAGGCAGCCCAGCCCAGCCCAGTTGAGTCCTCCCTCTCCTCCCTAGGCGCGTTCGATAGCCGACCCTCAGGCTTCATCCAATAAGCCTCTAGCCGTCCGCACCCTCCGCCACGACCACGCTTCTTCTCAATGTCTTTTCTCCATTCCACTTCCTTTCCCTCTAATTTAATAGATTTCTGATAGCGCTGACCAACGGTTTTTCATTGTTCTTTCATATTGTTAGCTGTGAAGAAGAAACCCGTGAGAATAAATAGCTCAATTCATCTGTCTTAGCTTGTAACTCTATGACAGCTACATTTACCATCTGGAAACATGATTACAATACCAAAGATCACCTCAGGAAGAAAAACACAGCAAGAGAATGAACTAATAGATGGATTAACAACAGTTAAATCTGTAGACCAGAGTCAGATGACCGCGAATTTTGACTAGGACGCCGTACGACAAATCCAGAAATTTTATAACAAATATTGCAGTAGCGCTCGTTGCAAACTACGGTGTAAATCACATAAATTGAATGGCAATTTACTCTTACGTCATGCCAGCAGACAAAAAGTGAAGACCACCAACAATGACTCAGAGGTTTTTCGGAAGAAATTTGCTTTTTCATGAAACTTGTGTGTGTGTGCACATGTGTATGTGAATGTGTGTGTGTATGTGCGTGTGGGTGTTTGTGTATGTGTTGTGTGTGTGAATGTCTGTCTGCGTGGGCATATGTGTGCGATAATGAATAGTAAACGATATGATATAGTCTTGTATAATTGTGATCAGTTTAAAGGCCATTCATACGATATCGCCCGCCAAAAGAAGACAGAGACCCTTTTTTCGTTTGATTCAATTGTTTAACAAACGATGCAGCTATCTCACGTTTGGTATCCTTCTTTTGTACTTACCAACTGAATCAACTTCACATCAGAACAAGGACGGGTTCAATAATTTTAAGGAACCCTCAATCAAGAAGAAAAGTAGGACAAATATCTCCCCGTCTCACTGTATCGTGAGAACGAGCGATGATAAATGAGAAAAACGCGACAATACAACATCAAACTTTCTGGTATCACGGTCTTTACCGAGTGTCATCAAGACTATTCTTCTTGGTTCTAAATCACCTACTTACTTTAGCACTACTCGGCAACTGGGACGAAATTAAAGCGGAAAGTCCAGAAAAGCTATCACGAGCAGAAAAACGCCGATCATCTTCTACATGCTTATTTATATGTTCTCATGAACCAATCGTGTTGAGCTGTTGAGAGATGCTTGTGTTTTATCTTCCTTATGATCCATCATGGTCACAGTACACCTTTAACGCAGTTCGTTGTCTAATATCTGCTATCAACGAAGGCCTTCGAACTTAAGTGTGGATTCTGCTACTTCTCGAGGATTTTCGATCTTCATCATGGAATAACGTTGAATATTGACAGAGTTGAATCTCCCTGAAATAGTGGCATAGCCGTGTTAGAACTTTCACAGGTCTTTGTCAGAGCCATGATCCATCTTTTGTGGATGGAACAAAGGTCATTATTATTATTATTAATACTATTGAACTTGTTACTGTTAAAGAATCCGAATCGAACAAGATTGGTGGTACACCTTCTCTTATCGTCACAGGTCCAAGAATCAAGGTTTATCCTTTAACGATAATGAAGAATATGCCCTAGGGCTCAAAAGAAACGATTAGGTGAATGCTGCTGGCTTTGCATCAATAGAAAAACAGAATATCAGATTAGAAATAACGAGCACAATTCCGTGTCCAATGAATAGATGAGACCACTGGTCCCAAGTCGAATCCGGCGCTACGATGTGAACTGAAATGTGAGTTATAATTTTGTCAAAGCATGAAAAAAATGGAAGCGTGGAAATCTAGCTGACAGAAGTTGACGGATAAAAAATGCACTACTTACCAATAAACGGCTGAAGCAAAGTGACAAACGTGAGAATCAGACCGAAACAAGTGAAAAGAAGATGTGCATGCTGTCTAGAATCGTAATATATTCGATCATAACAGAGAGACTGGAAGCACCATTATAATAAAGTGGAATTACATGATCTTATTACAAAGGTCTCAACAAGCACTATCGTTCTAACAAATTGGAAAGATGAAATCCGCGACAGCCCACACTTAGACACTTAGATGACCGGCCTTCATGTGTCGTGATAGGTCTAGGGCAACAGTGCGGTTTTGATTTTGGGCTGCCTTTCTAAACTTCGAGGCAGGTTGTAGCGCTCTTAATCACTTTTGTGACTCAACGATAGTTATTCCATCTATTCAGATAAAGCAAGTCCGATCTAGTACTCTGGAAATACAGCTAAGATTAAGTGCATTTGATGTGAAACCTCCACTAATTTTTGCAATAGAGATTTGGAAGGACATAAGACACCAATCGGAATGAAGAAGCTTGTCCGACCAGCAAAAACCAATCCCTTAAACCCACATTCTAGGCGTTAGCTACTATAGGTGGGGTAGAAACTAGTTAAAAGACATCAAACTTCATGTTGCGCATAACGTAATCGATTCAGGACTACGAAAACATATTAAGTATGGTGACTGGTTCAAACAGTACATTGGTAAGGTTCGAGTGGCAAAATAGTCTCTTCGTAAATCATGCTTCGCCAAATTCCGCAAGGCGGTTCAAATCCACTTCTTAGTGAATGCCTGCAAAAAGTAACGAGCCGGAAAAGACAAAAGTTACAGTCGAACGACGCAATACTCATCACACTTAGAAGGAAATGTCCTCATTGAGGTGAAAATGTACTTGTTTTCATACGCGGTTGATTTCTACGAGGTCCCACTTTTCGCTCAGCCATAGTGCTCGCTCGCCATAGCGAATTGGTTCTACCATTTTCATCTAATACGCTTTACATTTGCATGTGGTGAATTCGAGCACCTACATTCAATTGCACAGCGTCGTCCAGATTGAAATCTCCTACAGTTCCCCCTATGCTAGCAGGCTATCGATGTAATCGAAGATTTCAGCAAAAAAAAATGTGAAACTACACTGAGCAAACTACATCAAAATGAAGAAGGCGAAATCCGCCGAAACGTCAGATGTTGCAAAACGTCAACGCAACAGAACTATCAATGGAGCTACCAATCAAATTACAGGTACAGACCACCACCGTTACCTATCAGATCCAATAATCCACTACTCTACTTTTAAGGTGACGAGTGGTACCTCAAATACATGACATGACATGCACTCAGTGCTGAAGTGCGTTGATGAACAATTTCGCCACTACACCAGACGCTGCAAACCAAACCAAGAAACAACCTTCTATTCATAATCCTATTTCTTGTTAACGAGCGGTTCATTGATGTAAAATGAAAAATGTATGGGTTTCAGTAACTCTTTTAATGGTGAAAAGTGCCATTTACGCATGCTACGATGGACAAATGAGTTGAACTGGGCCAGAAAACCGTACAAGTGTTCTTATGAGCGACTACGCAAAAAAAATAGGCAGGTGCATTCTGGCCAAACTCACTGATTAATTTTGTAGATAAATCTTCTAGATATTACGGTTCAAAAAGCAGATAATTCAAATGAATAACGAACATGTGAAACGACACAAATGAATACCACGCGACTCGACATTGCTAGTACAAGAGCGCTTCAAAGCTACTGCACATTAATCAGCAATCACCCTAGATATTTATTTTGTTTTTGGAATAACTACGAATCTAGAAAAGATACGAAGAGCTCACCTAGCGACAATTATTGCAGCTTTATTGTAGCCAGCAGCATTAAATCCAATAACACCTTGAAGTAGTGTTATGAGTGAGGCACAGACGACCTTAACAGTGGATAAGAAGAATATGGTATAAGTGTTGAAAAACATGTTCTATAAAAGAAAGTAAAAAAAAACCTGTTGTTGGGCAGGAACGAATGAAGTACAAATTGCCAATAGACCTGCTAAACCAATAGAAAGCGAGTTGAAAATGCGAGCTTTGTTGGATTCAGATAACCATATCCAAAGGTCCGACAATTTCCCTGAATAAAACGTATCACCAGTACTTTATTAAACTGCTAAATACTCCATTATGCAGGTAAAAAATATGGTGAAATACGCTGAAGTCTAAAGTACTCGTTTACATATTAGTCCTAACCTTCACGATTAAAACCTAGATAGATTCCATGTAACGGATCACCTGCATCACCTGTAGTTCCGTTAATCGCCGAGTGACTGCAGTGGAAGCCAGTAAATCTTTCAATTTGCCCTGTCGCGTGCAAGAGTAGCTCAGTGGGTTCTGCTCCCTCTAGAGACTCGTCGAGCAACATACCTTTCTTCAAGGTTCCTTGTAAAGAACTCTGACCATCGGGTCGGTGGTCTTCCTGCACTACGTTTGACGTCAAGAGGGATCCAGTCAATAACGGCTCTTGTCCGTCGGTTGTCATTCATACGCATTACGTGTCCGGCCCACCTTATCTTCGACTGTTTGGCGTACAGAACTGCGCGTTCAATAACGCTGAGTGACCTTTCATCCTGCTTAGGCAGCGACCAGTTTCCTGATGCATACGTAAGGGCAGGAAGTACCGTTGAGTCGAAGGGGTGGGCACGGAGTCGGGTGTTTTTTGCTCCCTTCACTGCACCCTCGATGGTCTTGAAAGCTTCCCAAGTCGCTCGTTTCCTTCTGCTCAACTCTGGAGCTAAGCCGTTCATCATATTGATTTCCCAACCTCGATAGACATAACTGGAGCATCCTCATGAACATCGTTTTTGTGGGATTTAGTCGAAGTCCAATCTTTCCACAGGCTCTATCAAAGTTGGCAAGCAGACGTTCCGCTTGGCTAATGTTTGGTGTTATAAGGACGCTGTCATCAGCAAAGCGAAGATGGTGTAACTGCCGACCGTCGATTTTCACTCCCATATTAACCCATTCCAGTGTTCGCATGACGTTCTCGAGGGTGGAGGCGAATAATTTTGGCGAGGTAGTGCCGCCTTTCCTAACCCCTCTTTTGACGTTGATGTTAACATCGTTGTAGAATGGTGATATCTTGGTTGTGAAATTTTTGTAAAGCTCACAAAGAATCTTTATATACTGACTAGGCACTCCTTGACAATCGACGGCTTCCATGACTACTTCTATCTTATTCTAACTGAGAAGAAATGAAGTCCACTGTATGATCAGTACAACGAAAACACGTTGCAACGTTCCTTTCACTGTATAAATCTGGAAGCAATAGATGTGGATCTAATCTAAACTACCGCAGAGGTTTACCAAATGACAAAAGGAAGTTCCATCATCCACAGATTGCATGCTTCCAGTCTACCGACATCGAGAGAGGAAGCCAATTTTGCGGACAGACAAAGAGGTCGAATGAGCAGGTGCTAGTGGTAATTGGCACCCCACCGAAGCAAATATACCGTTGAGCCAACACTTGTTCTCTTGATGCTCTAATAACCAAGGTTGTACATCTCTGAATGAGAAGGGAATGGAGCAACTTTCATTTCAGCTGGTTCCTTCGCTTATAGCTCAACTAATCATAACAATGGCAAAATCTAAGCATGTGATGGGCATCTGAATTTTTTAAGCGAAGACAAACTTCCTATAACACCTCTAATTCTTTACCACCTCTTGGTGGTTAGGAGCTTTAATGGATGCGAAGCGGTAGTTTGATATTTCCTTTCAAAAGACCAACTAAGAGTAAACTAGTACCAAGAATAACTGCGATTCAAGCAACAACACATTTACTAATTAACCAACCGTTACGTTATCGGAAAACCCTAGGGCATCCTTTGAGAATACAGAGAAATAAAATTTTGTCAGATCTGAGAATTATCATTTAAATGGAAACTGTGTAAGACTCTTCGTCATTCTTGTCATTTATGAAGACGGTCCATTCAGCCACTCAAACAATTTTGGTCAGCCACTGATGACTTCAATACCAGAACTGTATCCAAGACGTGTAAAAGCTGTATATAACTGGACTCACAGACTAAACTGGGTCAATCAGCAGGACCCTAAATATATTATACCGATCAGCGTCTTTTGATTGAGGTAATACTGTGCCGTTTAACAATAAATTCTGTGAAAAAACGGTTTGTCACTTCCTTCAACTTTTTTTAATACAAGACAGATAAAAAATAAAGAAAGATAAATAAGCGAAGTATAAAGAGTGGATTGTCAAAGCCTTGCCAATAAATTGAGATCAGAGAGATTCGCACTGAAAACCTCACCAGATGTTATTATCCTTCCGCCTTGCCGGAAATAACAAATATACCGGAAAATCCGAAGTCTGAGGTAATAACCAAAAAACATTCTGGAACGTAAAGGAAAAAGCAAGAAAAAAACATCTCAAAGAGACATTTCTAGGAGATGCTACAGATATCGAAAAGTGTATTTGCAAGGCCTGACACCAAAATAACTATCGGAAGGCATCGCATTATTCTGAAGTGGTTTGATGATCTCCAAAAGGTGATTGATATGGTCACTTACTGCAAAATTGCTGCAAGGTCTGAGAGAATTTCGTCCAGCGATAAGCAGGAAGGATGTGCAATACCTCTAGCTAGCATTTTAAGCACTGATCTACTACTTTTGCAACAGCAAGCACAGAGCATTCATACATGCACTCTATCATTTCATAGAATATCCATATGTGTCAAACTCAGGAAAACATGATAGCATCTTCTGTAAAGCATGGCCGTTAAAAAAATATTCGTCCGTTTTAGTTCCGTGACGAGAAATATTTTGGTGGTCATGAAGATGCAGAGAATTCTCCGTTGGAGAGAGCACCCCAGATGGTAGCGAACTGCTTCTGCTGCTTGAAGTGAAGTATAATACATGACCTCACCGGCAGTTAATTGAATTGCTTTTCACACCGACATAGCAGGATAGATATTGTTACCATTGAAAAGCGCACATGACGACCTTTTCGTGAAGCCTGAATGGCTGGTATGATTAACATATGCCTCGTTCACTACGCGAGGTGAAAAATTGTGGGTGGTCCTACATAGGTAGCAGAACACAGTGGGTGCTGGCTGTTATGTGTTCGTTTATTAAAACATGCACCACATTTTTCATCGAAGACGGTGCATAACTGGGGCAGAGTTGAAAGGACTGTATTTAGTTCAATCAAACCAAATACGTTTGAATCATGAATCTACTTTATCGAACTCCTCAGCACATTGCTTTTGTAGACTGGCGGAGGGTGTTACAACGTGCGCCATTATGGATATGATGGTGGTCCCTTTGTCGTTCCACATGTGCGCCATTGGTTTGCTCTTATTATGTTTAGTCTTCAGTTGCCCTCTCTCCGTCGAAAACCGATATAGGAGCTCCTTTTCCCAGGATCGACTTTCTATTAACCTCGGCATAGGAATATGAATGCGTCGTTTTCTTGTTCAGCAATCGCGGGCTTGTTATACAGCATACATTTACTTCCATAGAAAAACACACAATACAATGCAACATCAGAGCCTGGAAGTGTATACTGATATACAATTTATTAGGCCAAACGCTTTAATAACTTACAAAAAACCAAAAAACTCTACGGCAATGTCATGATCAGCAGCTTCTCGAAACACTCACCACTTTTTTCGTGACTTCCAATGAGGAAGGTTATAACAGCCGATTATAGATGCATATGGTTAATGAGTGCACCATCCCACATCGGAGATTGATGCAAAGATACCGGACCAGGTCGCGTGTGACCTCTGGGCATTCATTCATGCTACTCATTGTAAGGCTTTTGGAATTTATCTAAAAAGCCTCAAATAGTTTGCGCGCTGCTGTTTTAGTCCCCTCTGCAAGGATATTGACTTTAACTTCAAAATTGTCTCCGCTATGCTTTTGTATCCTATGCGTGTTTAGTGGAGTGCTTTGTCCTGCTTTTCATTTGCCATCTAGGTGTTTTTTTTATACGGATATACAAGGGTCTGCCCGTTTCGCCAATATATTCATTTCCGCATTCATTACAAGAGTTCAGGTATAACGTACCTGAACTCATGCGGTCACTGTCCCTGCCGTAAGGGCAAATTACGCAATTTGTTGTTTCACACAGACGGTCATACAGGCAGTTGCGAACTAATTGGCGACGTAGAGTAGTCGGTAGTGTTTCAACCATCGCTACCGTTTCCTCTAGACCTGCCCTTCTTAAGAATCGTTTTATAGCTATGCTTACTTAATCACTAATAAAAGGCAATAAAAACGAGACTTCCTTCTGCCAAATGTTTCGTTTTGGCCCGTCGCTCTCCTTCTAAACTTATCTCGTGCGGTAACTATTTCGTAGCCATTGGAGATGGCTATTTCTCGAACCAAGTTGCCCTATTCTTCCTTTAGTTCCCTGGTTGTGAACACAGAGATGGCTGTTCGAAACATGTTTCTCACAAGCACCCTCTTTGTGTGTGAAGGGTGGGAAGAGTGGGAATGAACCAGGATGTTTTTGTTACCTGGTTTTCGGTACCACTTTGTCATGTAACCGCAACTTGATAAGTTGATTTGAACGTTAAGAGATGGAAGCCAGGCTTCTTTCGGTTTCTCTCGGGTGAATTTAATATACTCAGAATGCTCATTCATTAATTTAAAGCATTTGACCATCTTCTCCTGGGTAGAGAAAACGACAAAACAGTCATCTATATATCTGCAGTAGAGTAGCGGCCGGAGATCGATAACCGGGGCTTCTATTTTAGACATGAACGCAATGGCGAAAGTTTCCTTTTACTTTCTTTCCGAATGGTGTAACCAGAGGGTTTAACTCTTGCTCAGTTTGACGACCGATGAATAAATGACATACCAATTATCGATCAGCAGGTGCATTCCTCGATAGAATAAATCGTTTATGAGCTTGATCATCACTGACCCAACCGCCTTTTCTAATTTTTATTTCGAGTCACCTTTGTTTGCATACAATGAGATGTTATATGTGCAACCATTTATTGCGGAGGTAGTGTGAGTGGAATGGGACTTTCCTTCTCAATAGCACGAGAGAGTCGTCAATGCACAGCCTGCCTGTGTACTTTCTTATAATTGATGACATGTTTACGGCACATACAATTCATTTTTTGACTATAACTAACTTAGTTCCTACTTCGAATCCATACGATAGATCACAGCTATTGCATTAATTCAGCGGAATTGAAATAAAAAACCTCCAAAAAACACCGAATTATAACTCATTTAGTTTAAATAACCTGCAAAAGTATGACGGAAATGTGACTGAGTAGAGTATGAGATTTTCCTTCCTTCATTAAACAGAAAAGTTGGATAAAGTTCGAAAAGAGCTCTCGGCATTGATCAATCCCTGAGGGATACGCCATGCATTCGACTTCACTGAGCATCGCTGGAGGTGACTGAATGCACATCTGGCCTTTACAATGGCTCGCGGTGGCCTACTGACGTATCGAGTCAGTGCTGGCATCCTTCCAGGCAAGTCAAGCACCAATGTGCCTACTGTGGAGTGATGGAAAGCTTGGTAAGCCTTAGGCGCGCGATCGATCCCATGCGTATTGCAGGGCGCCTCCGAACATCACGCTACACGCGCAGTAGAGCTGGATGTATTCCGAAAACATGGAAAGATATAGGGAAAATATACATAAGATGTAAGACGCAAAACGCCACAGAAATGGTGCGAAAAATTATGTGGAAAGCCATACTATAAGCAGAAAACAACCAAGAAAAGTTACGGCAACTTTCGAGAGCAAAGTTTACTGCACGCATCGAGTTCAGACCGTAATAATACACGAAAGGATAACCGAAAAAGATAAAAGATATAAAGCAAAAAATATGCAACATGTAATTATAATACCTACCACTAACAAGTTTGAAGATGAGCTGCAAAATGAACGAAATCGTGTTGTACTGAGAAGCAGCAAAATCTGTCGTATGGAGAGTTTTCTTAAGGATTAATGGCCCAAACGTCATAAAAACCGAAATGCCACCAAAGTTTCCAAACGCAGCAATGAGACACGACCACACCGATAACGAAGTGAAGAAAGCTCTAAAAATTTCATTTATGTCACAAGATTTTATTTAAATACATAGCAAGTGGATGTGGGTGGACGTTCTTGACGTCCAATGTTTTTTCTTCAATAAGCAGACACGAGGTTGTTAATATAGAATTTATTAGAACACAATTGCTGACGTTTCGGCGGTTTCGCCTTCTTCAGAGCCGTTTATTTGTTGTAAGTATTTAAGTTAGTTGGTGGATAGCCGCCGCACAGAGTAATACATGGTCGACCATTGTGTTCTAATAAATTCTATATTAACAACCTCGTGTCTGCTTATTGGAGAAAAACATTGAATCATCAATTAATGCCGAGGTTAACAGAAAGTCGGTCTTGGGAGTTCTTGACATCATTTCTAATTTTTTTTTCTGCCGATTATAATGATGATATCATTCCTGCTGACTAGATGTTGCGTAATAGGTAATATGGATCACTGAAGCATCATTTTGCTAAGATTCAATGCGTTTTAAAAGCGGCTGAACCGTTAAAACCAAAGTTTAATAGAGTAGTATTGCTTACCTGTAGGGAACTGCTTCGTGCTGCACACGGGTGATTGGCTTACGACACTTCTGAAATACATGGAATTACACTCTTTTTCAAACAAAGAAACCAAACTATTTTGTCAACTCTAGGACACAATTTGCAGATATTGAAGGTGTGGATATGGAACAGAGCTATGTTGCAAATTTGATCCTTTAACAGTAATCGTCATTCCGCACTTTCCGTATTTATTCGGCAGCTTTTGAACAAGATACTTTCGAACGAATGCACTGCACATCCAAGCTAATAAGATGGTAGCGCATTGTAGAACGAATGCTATGCACTGCACATCCAAATCCTTTTCTTCGGACGAGTTAGTTGATCAGATCGCGTACATTGTGGCTGATCAAGAGACAACAAGTGTGTTTCCGTGGCAGAATTACAAATAGATAAGTATCGTAGTGATTAATCGAACTTCGTGTTGACATAGCGGCATAAAGGCCGTCGTTGATGTAGATTGTACTGGATGCCTTTTTTGGCGCACTTTTGCCCACATGCTATGAGTTCAATACATGTCGCGCGCGAAGAAAAATTATGCCTTTCGTCGGTTGCCGCATAAAATTAGCTTTGCCGCGATTTAATTAATAATACATTGCTAGTAAAATCCTCAGTAATCCAACTAAAGGACGGAAATATGACTCAGAAGTACATAAAAGTAACAATGAGAGTTTTTCGGTCTACTTCTGCTCGAAATTTTGACGTTAGAACTCGTCGTAAACTTTAAAATCGTATTCTTGCTCAAAACCACTCAGTTTTACGATTTGCATGGTCTCAAAAAATACGTAAAAAAAAACTGAGAGCACCTACATGATTACTTAACCGAGATAGTTGAAAAGGATAGTCCCTGAAGAGTGTAACCCACAAGACAGACATGAAGAGCGAAACCAGACCATTGAAATAAAAGATTCCACGCCACGAGAGCCAGTCGCAGATCACGCCTGACGTGGACATCAGAAAAAACAGTCCTACCTATAATAAAACATACATTCAAATCTATCAGTTTACACAACCTTTGTTTCACAGTTATCAGTGATTAATATAGAGATGTGCGAAGGAAATGGCACATAACGGTTCGAATTGGTGAATGATGAGGATCATAAACATGGTGATAAGTGTGCATGATAGCCAGAACCTTCGCCTTCATCTACTCTTGATGATAAATTTCCAGTGTATCTGTGTCTCGAAAAAACTACTTCTACATTGCAAGGTAGTCAAAGGGAACTTCGCTATCGTTTCAGAACACTTGAAGATGATTTCGAAAACCTCTTGCCGCAACTACCTCTCTTCGATCTAGCTTTCTCAATGATTTTCGAAACTTGTTACTATTTCTCGAAGCAGTTTGTTTCTTCTTTCACCACACCCAAAGAAACCAGAAATCAATATGTCAAAAGTGAGTTCCTTTTATCAACACTAGGACAGGTTCGTGGTTTATAAGCAGCTTTATTTTAGTGCCAAATTTAAATCCATTTCGCATCTACGTCATTGTTGGCAAAGAAAGACATTCTCATTACTGTAAGCTATGTCCTCAACTTTCACGGCTTATTGTCCTCATTTGTCATCGTTAGTTGTTTTAGTAACTTCCAATAAAACGATTATGAAATGCTTCCCTTTCCTATCGACGCTAAACACGTTACTGCTGAGTGTGAAAGAAAATTTTCGTTCTATTTTTTCATTTTCCAGCACGGCATCTATTGATTTCCATCTATAGACTTCCTTAGCAGTATGCTCGCATATGCCCAGATGATTTACAATGAACTTCTCTTATAAACCTTAACCGTTTTTGCCAAACTGAAACAAAATCTTTAGTCAGAATTTCTCCCAAGCCGGATAAAACTAGAGGCAAACATCTAGACAGAATTAAGCGCAGCCACAGCTTATTTCACTACAAACACACTTCCGAACCTGGACAACAAAGGATTCGACTTTTTCGCCACCTATTGTGAATTCAACGCAAAAGAGTAAAGAGAGTCATGCCTACAACAACAGGAAATGGTCTTCACTTCCATCAAAAAACGTAATGGAGGGACTTTGTTTACCATGAAAAAGTTGCTAAATATTGAAGTCGAAAACGTTAACTTTATCCCTAGTTCTAAACAAGACAAGCTCTAATGATTCAGGAAACGAATATTGTCCGTATTTACTCGATGAAGACTAAGCATAAAGCGTGAGTATAAGCTAAGAGTTTGCATTACAAGATATATAATACCCTTCTGCCACTACTTGGATCTTGTACACGTTACGACCGCTGATGCGCATTGTTTTCTACTGGTGTTCGTGTGGAATTAAACTTCCATTTGATCGCACAGAATTTCAATATTGGTGCCAGCATGAGTCGCACATAAGTCACGTATGCCACGAGAATCAATGCATTCTCCAATATTGAATAATCTCTTTCAAAATCTAAGGAGAATCAATATAACAAAAAAAAACTTTTCCTATTCTATAGAAGTAAAATTCTGATTTCTTCGAATCAACAAAGTGCACTTTTCCTCTTCTTTTGTTGAAGCTCCTATCCCAAACAGCAAAGCAAATGAAGAGATGTAAATTCGTACACAATGGCACAGTGATATTCCCAATGTCTGGTAGGGTCTTCATCTGCCACCGTATCGTTAAGAAATTTAGGAATTCACTTTTATCCACTTTTTATGGAAATTCTGACCTTTGAAAAATCCAAAAATAAAAAAGGACTTCATAAAAACTGTTAATCTATCGTTAGCTATAAATGCGACAGACCAGAACATTCTAACGATATATCGATAAGCACACTTTTTGCACGACCAGAAACCACATGTTGTGCGGACTCCAGTACTTCTTTCAACCGATTCGTTTCCTCGCATTCGTCGTCCAGAAAGATCCTTGGATTTCTATTGAGTTAGAATGCGGTTAGAAAATTTATGGTTTAATTTATGAATGCTTTTGAATGCCGGTTAGATTGATTGTTCTTGAAATCCAGGAATAGCAGTAGATCCGCGATCTCGGGTCTTCACAACAAGTAGTCTCATCCATCGTTTTTGATTGGAAAGAGTTTCGCAAATGATCATAAGAGCAGTCCACCGATCCTGAAGGAATTGAAGCCTTGATTGGCTCGGTGCGGCTTCGTATTCAAGTAGAGTTCGTAAACAACCATACTTCCTACAATATCGTAGTAGTAGGAAGATGAAACGTTGTTAAACTATCAAAGTGTGCACCTGTCTCAATAACCTCTACGCAAGGAACACCCGTAACAACCGTCGCCCCGCTGGTCGTCAAGTGACTCGGGTGGGTGCCAGTAAACCTTCCACTTCTTCATGACTCGTGCAAGTACATACGTTCCTCCTAGACTCCTCGTGAAATGCTCTGACCATGGGGTCGGTAGTTTTCACGTTGTACGTTTGACATACCGAGGAATCCAGTTGCTAACGACTCTTCCCTTCGGTTGTTGTTCACACGCACCACATGGCTAGCCAATCTTTTCTTCGACAATTTGGCGTGTAGCGTGACATCCTTGATTTTTAACCAATGACGTAAGTCGGGACTTCGATCCCTCACTTGTGTGATACGAGATACTCTCACCGTCCTCCTTCCGACTGTGCCTTCCATAGCGCGGAGTGACCATTCGTCCTGATTTCACTACGACCATGTTATTAACACAAACTTTAAGGCAAGGAGAATCTTGGAGGCGCAAGAATATCATTGAAGAAAACCTTCCGCAACTGATATTGGAGGTTCATATTCGGAATGAAAACACTAAGTAAAGCGCTGATAGAAGAATGCATTCCACGTTTTGATCACAAACCGTCGTAAACTCCATGAAATACCATTTCCTGGTTTGCTCATATGGAGAGCAAACTGTTCTCACGAGGTAGCTGGTCACACATTATCACTCAAGCAGCAGAGCAACATTATCCATTTTCAATAGTTAACAACAAGTAAGCAAGAAAGCATCTCTACTTTCTAAACAAGTATTGTGAAGCCCAGTGACCACATCAATAAGATACAACTTATAAAAATATAGGATAGAAATGTACCTGCGAATAACTTGTTAGTAATGATATGAACATTCCTCTCTCTGATTTGGAAGTCCAGTAAGCAGTAACATGCCCAACAAGAGGAACGTTCGGAGCTACGGCCGCTCCTTGCAGGATTCTGAATCATGAAAACGATTACTGAAAAGGTAGTAGATTTTTTGCTGCTCCTCTTCGCTAATATGCACCACCTTTAAAAAGGCGAAATTCGATTTTAACTACTTCTACGTTCGTAATTAAAGAAAAAACAAAGTGTTTCACTTCAAGACGAGTGTGGTGTGTGGGTTCCAATCGTACAACGGAGGCACAAGAATAGTGGTAATCGAAGAGATCAAGCAGCTGATGAAAACCGACCATCTAACATAGGGCAGTCCACCAAATACCATCATAATAATGAGCATGCAAAAATGTCCTAATGGATAGGACGAATAGAGCATACTTGTCTCCGTAGCAGAGAAATGCATCACCGGAGATGACGATGGATCACTAGAAACAAAACACATCTTCAAACCCTCAACAGATTTCGCTTTTCATTCACACTCAACCTTTCATTGTCGAACGAAGATTGTTCAAAGCGAACCATCCTAGTAATTGTAACCTGCTTTATATGACTACTTCTATTTCAATTCCACGATATTGAAGTCATCCTCCACTTTATTTTCCAGTGACCAATACATCGTATCTAGGATGACCCCTTCTGTCAATCAACGTTAAAGACCCGACAACATTGTGCAGACATTCGCTGAATGTAAGTTGAGCAGCTTACAACTCACCGCTGATAAATCTCAAATGTGTCAACTGTGCTGTTCACCTTACAGACTACGGCGAAATTAAATGCGAAACTACACGAAAGCCCGATCGCTGACACACTGGTGGCTAAAACTATGATCACATATCGCCATGGTGGTATTTCAGACTCCTAAATTAGAAGCGTTTCTTCCACGAAATGATTTCAACTATGGGATACGTACCCGTTCCGTTTCTGTATCCTCTGAGAACGGTATGAGACAGTTATTCTTGTCCTCCTCAGAATTCATTACCCTGAAACTAGGGCACAGGATATATATGTATATATACATATATGTATATATATACATATTTATACTCGCAGCAAAGATAGTTTATCGAGAAAATCCAACCATTCTCCATTAATACAGTAGTGGAAGCGTTCGAAACTTCAAAGGCATATGGAAGAAACTTCGTTCATCGCTTTAAGGGGATAAACAAATGTAATAAGATATCTCCCCAATTTCAACCCTTTTATTTACTGCCTTTTTCTTTTTAATAGCAGGGTATGCTGCGAAATATAACTAGTATATAATGCTGAGATATTTGCAAAACTCCGGACCGCAGTTGTATGCGGTGGGGAACGAACGCGCGCTATTGTCCTTACCGGGGAGTAGCGCACTTCACCATCACACCAACCGAGTCCCTAGTTTTGCCTATCTCTCTTCTAGTTCTATCGATCTTTTTGCCATCAGCAATCACCCATCAACGGGATTGATCTGGTGAGCCCAAATCGGCATTGAACCCAGTTAAGCTGAGGCTTAGTTATAATCACAATCTCAACCCTTTTATCGCTACTCCCGGTAAGGACAATAGCGCGCGTTCGTTCCCCACCGCATACAACTGGGCTCCGGAGTTTTGCAAATATCTCAGCATTATATCTCCCCAATTGTTTTTTTTCCAACATTTCCCATACAAATAACTTGGCTGCAAGAACGAACAATATTTTGGAAAACATCACTGCATCACACAGGACAAAATCTCTATTGTTCAATTGCATTGTTCTTCGGAATATGAGCTTGCTGTAAAAAGTGAGAATAAATGACTCCGCGGGACTCACTAGGATATCGTCGTGGTAGAACAATATAATTTGTTCTTAATGCAAAAGATCTATAGATTCTAGCCATTTTCATTCCAGGTTCACAACGAATTGAAATACTCTGGCTAAAATCCAATTTAGCCATTACTTTCGCATCATGTGATTCGAGACGAGGCCAATTTGTTGCAAATATGTTAAGTAATAAAAGCAGGATTCGGAAACTATGCACTTGTTCATAACAGGGAAGGTCTTATTTTGCAGTTAAGATGGTAAAAATAAGAAGATGAAAATTTTAAAAAATGACATCAGAAGTAGTGATAAAAATGGTAGGTGTCCTGAACTGAGAAAGCACTCTTTGCTGCAAAAATAACTCTAACAGTCTCTAACTAAAGACTTGACCATGCAAGCCAAGCATAAGGTACGACGTCATCGGCCTGGCCGAGACGAGACGACCCATTCTACGCCGTCTATGACATCGGTGAAGGACATAAATATGATATGACACCATAAATAAAAGGATAAAGCTTTCGGCGCTGATCAATCCCTGAGGGATGCGCCATGCATTCGACCTCATTTAAGATTTAAGGATCGTCGGAGGTGATTGAATGTACATATGGCCTTTACAATGACGCACGGTGGCCTACCGATGTATCGAGCCAGTGCTGCTATCCTCCCAGACAAATCCGGTACCAATTTGTTGACGCCAGAGGGATGGAAGGCTTAGTGGGCCATGGGCGCTGGGATCAATCCCATGTGTGTGTTGCAAGGCCTCTCCGACCACTGCGCCACACGTGCTCTTTGCCACAGCTCTAGCCATAGGGTTTCCAACACAGCCAATGAATGAAAGAGCAACTGTACCAGTCCTCAATTGAAACATTCAGAGGTAGTTTTACCTTTTTTACCTAATTAGGAATATATTCTGCTGTTTAAAATAAATAGCCTGTGACGCTTTCAGAGTCGAAATAATTATTTGTAGACTCCATATGAAACTTTCCACAAAATCTTAATTATTCTACTAATAACTTTGGCCAACTTACGATTTCTAATACATTGCAAAAAGAATAGCTTAGGTGTGCTCGGAATCCGTAGGACACAAAACGGTCCTCTTTTGACACTTTTTTTGGGCAACGAAAGAAAATACGCAGTGCACCGATACGTCTCAAAAGTATAACAAATCCGAATTATACTAATGAAAAAATAAAATATAATACAACGTTCAGATGTGTATTCAGGTATTTGAACAGACTTACTTCCTACGGGCTCATTAATAATCAAGTTCACTTGAGAAGGTACCAATAAAGTTCTTAATCACTATAACGTACCCTAGAATAACGCAATTGATTCCGCACGCTCCAAAGACAAGAAATACACATATCTGTTAGGTTGTTCGAGAATTAATGTAGGATTTGTAATCTCATTACTCTCGCATAAATTTCAGCAATAATGCTTTCTCGATTGCTGTACTATTATACATCAGCGCAAAGTTTGTGTTATGCGTAATGTGTTTTTGAAAAATCGTAAAGTTATGGTTTCAGATATCAAAACAGCAATCGCCACAAATTCACTTCTACGAAATCAAACTCAAGCGCACACAATTCAAGTAGCCGGAATTATTAGTGAGGTATGAGGCCAAGGAAATATAAACGAACGCACACTGCAAAGTTTGTTTGAAGTATACTCTCTTGGTGAAATCGACCTAGAGGATGGGACAGGTCGCAGAGCTTCTTTTGCTAATGTTGACAATAACTTGAACGATTTTCTAATCATTTTGAGTTTGACCAGTCTTCACGTCTACTGTGCCGATCCCACCACTACTCACAGTAGGTCTAAAGCGACTGAAAATTGAGCACCAGTAGGCTGACCTTCACAACAAGAACGTTCAGCTACTGTGGACTCTTGTGTTAGAAATCAACATGTTAACAAAATACACTTTTTAAAATTCTTATGCTTTGAAAGAGCGGACAGCAAAGTGGTAGTGATGCCCGTCATGACGAGCATGGTGATAGTTCGATCCAGCTCCAGGCCAACCAAGCCTCTCATCCCTCCGTGGTCGGGAAATTGCTGCCACACTTATCTGGGAAGAAATCACTCTCTGAAATCCAACTAAGAACGCTCCCGCACGGCTATCTCAGGACTCCAGGAAGAATTGCTCGACCAGTATTCTACGAGTTTCAAGATGAAATGAAAATCCTCAGCCAGCAACCAAAGCCACACGTAAAAACTTGGAAGACCTTGGTGGACACTGGATGCGAGGAAAAGAATCGAATGCGAGAAGTGTTGGGATCCGCAGAGTAGACGTGAAGACGGGTCATATAAAATAAAAAAATATGCTTTGAAAGCACAAGCATATTATTTATGTGGAAAAACCATCTTCTTGCATTATTTAATAGCATATTAGGTAAAATACTCACCATAAACTTTTACATATATATATATATATATATATATATATATATATATATATATACCCTTATATTACCAAGGAAGTGCATGATTTTGTGGTTTATAGTTTATCTCTTTCCCCGTACGCTACCCCGCAGTATCTCCTGTAATGCTTAAACTTATGAACTCGGCTGTGATCCATTAAATAAAAAGGACCCATGGTTGTGCATTCTAACTTCATATGTTTGGAAAACAACGTAACTAGTTGGGTAAACCGATTACGAGCACTTGTAGATCTATTGTGAACAAGTTCAGGTGGAAGCACGCTTTCAAATGTGTGTAGAACGTCCGAAACCCATATTTACTGCGAAAGTGGACCCTAAGCAATGGAGAATAGTGGACAAAGTAAGCCTCTAGTTTTTTTCATTGCAATATATTTAATTTTCAACTTTGAAATTCTTTTTCTGTTAGGACTACAGAGAGATTTGTTAGTAATGAAAACTTTCGTGCACTGTTTTCTAATTTATTTCAACCCACTTGCTGGGCTGTTCTCGAAATTTGCAATTAAGGATTTAGAGAAGGAATTAAGGATATTTATCGGATTTTTAAAGACCTTGTTTTGTCCTGGAGATATGGCACCCAGAATTCGGAAGAAATCTCTTGATCTCGCTTCGATTTTTTTCATATCAGTTCTTCCATTGTTAAATACAATTTTTCTTTTGGTGCTTGGTGATGTCTAGATGCAAACGTTCTTTTTTCAATTTCCGATCGTGGAAGAGACTGCTCAAAGTTGTCGCTCACGGACTTTATTGCTTTTAAAGCGACTTGATGTTACTGTCAACTCTTTTTTATGGTTTGGAATTCATTATATTTATTCTTCTGTTTTTCTAAACCTTTTTAAAACTGTTTTCTACATATTTTCCTTATTTCCTTTAAGGTGTGAACGAATCAAGTCTCGAGAATCAGAAATTAGAAATCTTTTTGCTGAAAAGCGTAATGCTATGTCACACATAATAGCACCGGACATTGCATCTCTTCTCGCAGCCAGTCATGATTTGTTGAGGGTCGAACAAGCAAGTAGTGCAAGGTTGAGGTATCTTGTTCAGATCCTTCATTGGTTTTTGTTTGCCTTGTACTTATCACTGTGCATTATCAAATTCCATTTCGTTTGTGTATACTACTTATCACGTCAGTGAAAGGTCGTTTTTTTAGGAAGAATACACGTTCGAAAGTGCACCCATTAGCGCTAGCTGAGCGACCAACTGATCGCGGTGGTCGCACAAGCGAGATGATAGGCGACATTGCGATGGAGCAAGCCTGTGAGATTGAAATTCAGTTTTTTTATACTTTGTTTTTATTGCTGGTCCTTATTACAACGCTGTTCAATACCTGCGGACTTCTTTGTCTATTTTTCAACTTTTTTAAAAATGGGCTGTTTCATCAAGTTTTCTGGTACCGAAGGACAATGTACGACAGGCTCATTCCTGCTGTAGAGTTGTCGTAGCTAATTTTGTTGTTTCCATTTTAATCTTACCTGGCAAACGAATGCCACTAATTTCCACTGCCCTGGAAAAAGAGTCGCAGTGTCTCAGAAATCCTTCCGGTCTACAAAGACCTGCAATCACTGTGATCATAACTTGAAATGCCTGTGAATGAGGTTCCTTACCAAGTGGTTTCTAGCACTTCTCGCGTTTGGTTCCTTCTTCGCACTTATCATGCACAAAGGTCTTCGAATATTTCGCCTGTTGTTTCGACTACTGCTTGACGATTTCCTCCTTTTTTATGAATTTCATAAAATGCCGATCGAGTATATTCTCGTTAAAATCTGAGAGATAGGAGCTAAGGAATTCCTACGTGGACTCTAGGAGAGGGTTGGTGAGGTGTTGGGCGAGCACCTTTGTTGATCGACGACATCAGTAGTCACTGCTGTCCCCTCACCACTTCAAAATAGCTTTTTATATAGATCATTTGCCCTTTAGGATGTCATTCTTCTCGAGCACGAAAAATCTATGCTGGAATTTATTGAATATGGTTTAATTGGTACTTTTATAATTAATTATTATAATTGATCATCCGAGTTTAATTTTCTTTCCAATTTTGACTATTCTAATTCAGCTGCACAACGAGGCCGCGGTGGAGGACGGGGTGGTTTCCATTCACAACCATCAAATCAGTTTAATCAACATCATGGCATGTCACGGGAACAGATGGTAGGTTTAGCTTCGCCTTTGTAAAAAGATTCTTTCTTGAAAAATGATCATCATTCCAAACTCTTTCAACATCCGTCACGAGATGAAGGCATTATTCCTTTTCAAATTAAAATGTTACGATGTTTAACTTTTGCTGGCTATTATTTTTTCATGTCGGGAATTTATGTGAAATGTAATTGAGTTTTCGAATCCGGCATGTCGTTTTAGTTTAGTTTGGCAAATATCTCGGCATCATTGTTGAAGAGTTACAATTCCTTTTTCTTTCTTCCTTTCTCCTTGGAAGGAGCCCATGCTGTTTCCTTTCTACTCATGTCGTCTTCAGTATTCATGATATGTCTTATCCACACTTAAGATTTGATGTCTGTAATCAAAGAAAGGTGCATTTCTACTTTTTTAGTATTACACCATGTTTTTTTCATGGACCACTCCTTTTTAAAAGCGTTTACTTCTGCGGTGCGATGAGAATGCTCCTTTTTCACTAGCGCCCTAACATCATGGTAAGAAAAGGAGCTGGACAGAGCGTTACCATTTAGAATACGTTATTTACTGATACCTTGTAGAAAGTGCATACGCGTTTATGGTAAATTCTTATCAGACCTTCAGTTCGCTATTGACATCGTGTTTTCACGGAGTACTATTGGGACAGAGACGATGGCCACAAAGTTTGACGAAATGGAGGAAACGACTGCGCATAAATTGGGAGAAAACCCAGTTGATGAGAAACCCACTATTTGTAATTCATCACATGTATTACACTATATGAGATCTCAGGACTTCTTCTATTCCATTCGCTTTCTCGCATCCACAATCCACGAAGGTTTTCCAACATTCTTTTTTACGTGTGGTTTCCACTGCTTGATTTTCTAAGGATTCGTTGCGCATGTCTTTGAATGCTGGTCGAGTCAACGCTACCCCGAATCCTGTGATAGCGGTGCTAGGGCTTTCTCACGAGGATTGGAGAGAGTCAGCTTATCCTAAACTAGTCCTGTTACCTATTTCCAGATCCCGGAGGGATGGGAAACTTGATTGGTCCGGAGCAGCTTCGAACCAGCTCCTGTTTAAGTTAGGCCGTCACCATAATGAGCAAGATCACTACCACTTCACCACCCACTCTAGTATTGTATATGACTTAGTATTTGTAAATATATGATATTATATCACTTCTTTGAAATGGTGTGCCAGTAAAAAGATCCTTGAGATGGTTAATCTTCATGTTCAGTTCCTGTACAGCTTGAGAGGGGAAAACGTTGCCGGTTGTGGTGATAGCGACAAGAAATGTATGATCGGTAAAACTACGAAAAATCACGAGGCAACGGAATTTTTCTAGCTCAGTTTTGTTGAACTTTAAATGAATGAAATCCTTACTGCCTACTTTTTCCCATGTTCGGGAATTCACGCCATACCTGTTCAAATACGGTTTGATTTGAGTGAGGTCAAAATTTTCTCCTGTTCTTGGATATACAGAGTCATGGAAAAGAATCAGCGAAATCGCACAGTGGGTGGGAAGAAGACGTTTGAACTGAGTCATCTGAAGACGAGTACCACTATCGTCTTTATGGTCACCATTCCCTCCACTCTGTAATTGTAAAATATAAACTATCGTTTTTATGTCGCTTCTTGTCCGTTTACTTGGTTCTAATTCCGCTCTTGTTCTTCGATATATTCTATTGGGGCAGAATTTACATTAAGCAAGTATGAGTAAAGAACTCTTGTCAAAGTAGCTTCAACATATTTTTTAACACCTAGTAGGTGGAACTTGCATAGCTATGGTATAATATACGATATTATTTATACATACACGTATGTTTATATACACGCATATATATATATATATATATATCCCTCCATCTCTCATTCCATTCCTCCCATCCCTTAGGGATTGATCATGATCAAAGCCGAGAGCTTTATCCTTTTATTCCTTATATATATATATATATATACATAAGATATATGCATATATAGGGAGAACTGAAGTCTAAGGAGTTAACTGGGTGTTTTCTTGTGATTCTGTTATTTGTCGGGTAGAATTGCCATTTTATAGACTCAGAAAGAATATCGGAGATCGTATGATAGTCCAGGATACAGAGAACGAGGTGGTGGTTATCATCGAGGTGGTCATGGCGATCGTGGCCACGCTGACTACAGAGGAATGTACTACGGACATGATAACAGATATTGAAAGTGGACTACAAATAAATATTTATGCGGTTCTGTTGAGTGTGTTGTTGCTATTTCTACTGTTCCGACTCTATCAGTGAACCGTACTTCACACTTACAATGTGGTGACGTTTAAGTTTAGTCAAGGTACTGGAAAACGTTTGAAACACTGCATAGGCTTTTCCAGTTCCGGATGTCATAGACTTGATAAAGTAGTTCGAAGGTTTCGTGTCCGCCTATTCCCCCTCTATGGTAAATTGCTTTCTGTTCTATGATCTGGTATCACACACTGATATCTCTCCGCTAGATTGTTTTTGCGTTAGCGTTTTTTCTTGGCCTTTTTTCTCTTTTGTAAACTATGTATTGCTATGACAGAGTCAATGCTTGGGAGCTATTTATGTTCTTTTTAATTTTTTATTTTCTTTTATGCGACCTGTCTTGACGTCTACTGTGCAGATCGCAGCACTTCTCGCATTCGTAGTTTCCTCGAACCCATCATCCACGAATGTCTTCCGACTTTTTACGCGCGGCTTCGACTGCTGCTTGAGGATTTCCTTTTCCTTATGAATATCATTGAATGCTGGTCGAGTCGATTCTCCCTGGAGTCCTGAGATAGTGTGCTGGAGCTTTCCCAATTAGATTGCAGAGAGTGGTTTTAACCGGAAAAGTCCGTTGCCAATTTCCTGACTTTGGACTATTGTCTATGCCTTTTATTCGTTTTGGAGAACTATTTCGAACTTTGACAGTGTATATCTGGCAACTTGTACCTTTTTCCTAGTGAATGCTAGTGCATGCACCTTTAAGTGCTTCATTTTATCCTTTCACTGTAAATGAGTGTATGAAGCACAGTCGTCGGAGGGTTCTTGCAATACACGTAGGATCGAGCCACGCCCAAGGTCCACCAAGCCTTCCATCCATACGAGATCGGTAAAGTGATACCAGCCTTGTCAGGGAGGATAGCAACACTGGCTCAGTTTATAAGTGAATCACTGCGAGTTATTTTGAAGCCCAGATATGCATTCATTCACTTCCAACGATGCTTAATCCAGTGCATGGAGCATCCCTCAGGGGTTGATAACGCGGAGAGCTTTATCCTCCATCTTTTCATCCACTGTAATTTTTTTCGCACATACGACGGTATTGTGCTGTTTTAACACATCCAAAGCGTTCCATCGATGTCTTTAGCGCATTTTTTAGAAAGTCAACAGACTCTAAGTAGAAAGAAACTAGGACAAATTTTCTGGTCCACCATTTGATTTCAATTACCATCGCTGTCAGTACAAAGTCAGTGTAGCGGAGCAGCCTCGTTGTTGAGGAATTCGTAAGTTCTGCCTAGCAAACGGTTGAAACACATCGATTTCGACGCATACGGTGTGAGCTTAACGCACTCTTGCGAGTTCAATTTCAAAATTAACCGCTTACGAGTTGAATTCAAAAGATCTCAGAGCGTAGAGTTTTATTGATTGGAATAGAGAACCACTAAAATCTGCAGAACTTTTCCGATGAGGTGCACGTCTTGTTTTTATACTAAGATTATACTGTGGTCTTGTAGATCTCACGAAACGTACATTACTTTGTAAATAATGGTACACTGTAATGTCATTTCATCGATATTGAAAACTAAAATTATAAAGCCGTCGACGTTGATCAATCCCTGAGTGATGCACCATGCATTCGACTTCATTAAGCATCGTTGGAGGTGAGTGAAGGCATATTTGGCCTATACAATGACTATCTGTGGCCTACCGATGTATCGAGCCAATGCTGCTATCCTTCCAAACAGGTCTGGTACAAATTTACCAACCCTGGAGGGATGGAAGGCTTGATGAACTAGGGGCACGGAAATCGATCCTATTTGTATTGTAGTGCGCTCTCGACTATTGCACTACGCGTGCCCACACATTTCACTTCACATTAGTTTTTGGAATTATGTGGAGTTATTATTTATTATTATTTAATAATAAGAATTTGGGCGATGCCGTTCAAAGCTTAGTTTTTTCTAGGTGTTCGTCTTTACTACCGATACATCAAGTGAATGTGCTTGCTATACAATGGTGCTTCTTTTTCTTCTACGGACTTTCAGCTTTTCTTCTACGGACCTTTGAAACACCTACACAACAATCACATTGTCTCTCCAACACGTGTGGTTGGGTCGAAGTGTTCTCCCTAATTATTTCTCGCCATTGTGTTGTGCCTTCCTGATATGAATGCCTTTCTGTTAGAAAAGAGTTTAGCGCATGCGCCTTTGGGCTTCGGCTAGACGGCTTGCATCACGAATCAGTACCAATGGTGGATGCGATGCGACCGGTACAGCATCGCTTTCATGTCATCGTCCTTCGACTGCTGCACGTCAGATTATCAAACGTTCCACAACCACTGGTGCTTTTCACTCCTTGGAGAATGCTGCAATCAAATGCCCTGATACTGCATTAGAGGTGTTTGCTTTATCCTCACTAGTTTCAATAACCTCTTCCACCCTAATCTTTCATATTTATTAAGATTGCGGCAAGGTTAACACTCGAAGAGCAAAGTCTTTTGCGCGACGCTTTGGACGAACTTGCAGCTCGCAAAGATGATGTAAGTCTAAGCAAAGATTTTGTCTAAACTTCTAAGTTTTAAAATTGCTTCAAGAAGGTTTGTTTTTATCATACTTATTTGTTTACGTTCCAATTTGTGTTTAAATAAGATGAAACAGGCTTAAACGGTCGTTTTTATCTCGTTAACGACAGTACTTATGTGCTTATATAGCCCATCTTCACGTGTTGTTTGGGTTCTGCATTCCTTTTGGTTGTTCCTTTGTCTTGAATACTTTGTCCATGGAAGTAGATTGTTGCGTTTATGAATTGGTCCGTTTGTAGCATGAGGATGTGGTGACTTCTGTACTCATCCCATTGAAATGTCGATTTCTGGCTGAGTTTCGTTTTCAGTTGAGTTCAAAGGCTACTGTGCGAAGACGTCTCCATATTTTCACCTAATGAAGTCGCCGTTAGCGATTAGAACGTGTTCGTTGCCTTCTGAAAAGGATTCTTGCAGAGCGTCAGCGATTCTTTCACTTAGATCACACGTTGATGTAGGAACCCTACTGGTGACTACGTACTCCCAAATTTTCTGTCGAACATGGTAAGGAAATATAAATATTTTATCTTTCAATCCTGAATGCATATTTCATCAGATCACGCTTAATAGACTTGTAGAAGCCAGTGGAAAATTCGCATTTTTGCCAATAAGGTACAAGTTTGTTTATTCGATAACGATGAAATGAGAGCTTTTGAGACCCAAGGCATTCGTTTTCACGTTGTTGATCAAACCTCGAAAAAAGCTAGAGCTCTCGGCGTCAATCTATATCTGAAGGATGCGTCATGCATTCAACTTCATTAAGCATCGTTGGAGGTGTTTGAATGCATATCTGGCGAATGAGTCGCGGTGGCCTACCGATGTATCGAGCCAGTGCTCCTATCCTCCCAGACAAGTCTCTACGAATTGGCTGACTCCGGCGGGATGGAGTGTTTGGTGGGCTTGGGGCGCGGGGATTGATCCCATGTGTGCGGAGGACGATATCCTCCGAAGAGATGATATCCTCGGATAAGATGGTGGTGATAGCGAATTCTGTGGTGGTCTGCGTTAAAAAAATGGACTTTTGCCACATCGTTATCCTTATTCTTTAATTCTGAGAATATGCAATAGAACAGTGCTTTAGAGAAACTATATATAGGTCTATAGCGATAGGGCAAAGTTTCTCCTATAAGTGTCTAAAGTCGTCCTAAGGACGTCGAGCACTGTAGCCATCGACAAACTGCAATCGTTGCGAATCAGTTGAGAGTGATATAAAGGATGAAATTCTTCTCCACAAGTGTTAAAATGGGGAGAGGGTTCATCTGTTTTTTCTGTTGCAAAAAAGCAGGAGGCTAAATGCTGACTCAGTCTTTTACTACACGGCTATTAATCGTTTGTTTTTCCTTCGTCATTTACTTTGATAGTCTTTAAGTGTCAAGCCCACCGTGGAAGTACTTTTTATCCAGCTTACAGTCACAGCTCTGGCAACGTTTGTCGGCCTCAGGAATGAGAAGGGATTTTGCTAACCCCACGACCAAATTTTCAACTAGATGCGAACACCCTGGGATAGATGGCTTACATTAAACTGAGCATTCTTTTCCGCAAAAAATCGAAATGCGTTTTATACCGGTGCATGCTGCTTCTACAAGCTTATTTGATGTCAATTCTATTTCACTGAGGGTTTTATAACGAAGTCCTGAATCACCCATAACCCATGAAAAGTAAGAAAAGTGGTTTGATTCTCCATTTAGAATTGTCTATAAAAGAGAAAATTCCTAACACAAGCTTAACCCATCAACTGCTTAGGAGTCACCGCCAATGACGTATGCTCAGACCCGTGCATTATTCGTTTTCAATACATTGCCTTTCGTCGGGTTCGGATTTCTGGACAACATGATTATGATCGTTGCAGGACAATACATAGACCAGGTTGGTCTACTTTCAAAGTATTGAAAAGTATTTAGTAGAACTTTTCTTTTCTACGTTAACTTTTTATGAACAAGTCATTTGCGAGAGCGCTTTTTGTATTGGAATTATTTTTTCTTGTTTCTAGAAGCTTGGTACGTTATTATGTTTGTCCACTATGGCTGCCGCAGCTTTTGGCAACCTCATCTCAGACGTAGCGGGCATTGGACTTGCCCATTACGTGGAGAGCTTTTTTAATAAGCTGGGAGTAAAACATCCAGTCTTAACTTCGGAGCAGTTGAGTAGTGCTCGAGTAGGTTTCCTCTTCCTTCTTTTTTCTTCTTCTTTAAAAAATACTTCTCTAAATTTACCTTCAGCTCTAGTTCTCTTTAATAGTGAGGTCTTGTAAAATATATGAAAACATTTGGCTGTTTACAAGTCGGAAAAATTCTATGCATTTTCTTATGTCTTAGCTTAACATAGTTAGGTCAAGTAGTGAAACATACAATTTGTGCTACTTATTGAAGCTTTTGGCACCTTGTCTGATGAAGCTGGTTGATTTCTCATCTTTCTGAAAGGCATAAATGTTTAGATCTCTTTTTTTCTATGATTTTGTGCTTGTATAATTATTCTGTCTTCAACTTAGATTTTTTTATATTTAGGCCCGGTGGACGACTAATGGGGCGCGTGCGTTTGGCCTTAGCATTGGTTGTATTATTGGAATGTTCCCTTTGTTATTCTACGACGGCGATGATAATGACTTTGCAGACAAAGAAGCCAAGAAATCATCCGATCCTTCTGAAAAATAGTCGGTTCTACTTGTTGAATCTGAAAAGGTTTTATAGATTACATTTGATACATCTAAGGACATTTGGACATCTGTTGTAGTGCCTTTCAAACTCCATGACGTCATAATTTGTATAGTTTCCAATATCTTATCAATGCCAGTTTTAGTTGGACATTTGTTCGTCTCAATCATGAGTAGCACCTTCAGTATAATGAGAACGTTGCTGAACCAACACTTTCTCGAAGATATAGTTTTATTGATGTGTGAAATATGCATTCAATCCGATGCATGTCTGTAAAAATTCCCTCATTTAAGTGGGAGAGGACATGTAACGTTTTCATTGGGACCATTCTTGTTTTTATACTGTAAGGGAATCGCCTCAGGACACATGGAAACGAATGGACTTGTTAGGAATAATTGTATGTTAAAAAAATGAAAAGCTCTAGGCGTAGATCAGTGGTTATGGGATGCGCCTTGAATTCGACTTCATCAAGCATCGTTGGAAGTGACTGAAGGCATATCTGGCCTCAACAATGACTCGCGACGGCCTGCAGATGTATCGAGCCAGTGCTGCTATTTTCCCAGACAAGCCTGGCACTAATTTACCGGCCTCGGAAGGATGGATTGGTGGGCCTGGGCTCGAGGATCGATGTAATAAGCAGGAAACAATTAATGTCGTGCGACGTATTGTACGGTACGACATCTGTAGGAGGGATGCTATCTGCTTGATATAGAAGCTATCCCTGAAGAAGTTTGTGCGACGTAGTAAACAACCAATAAGAGAGTGCATTACAATCATTGTCTATTATATCATCGCGAGTGTGTTGAGCTAAGTTCTGCTGTTTCAGTTTAGTGTTAATAAGTGGTGTTTGAGACAGATCCCGTGCAGGGGTAACGCAATTTTTTGCTAAGTTGTGCTTGTTATTGTGCATTCAGTCGATCTAGTCTTCTATGTCTAGTTGTTATATATAATTCGTTAATTCATGGTTTCAGCACAATAAAGGTTTCAGTTTAGTCGAAGATAAGACGGTATGATAGCTTGCCATAAACGTGTATCTCTTATATGGTTTTGTCTCCTAGGTATAGAACCAGACGGTATCTAACCTTGCAACTTGTTCTTGCTATCAGCAGGTCCCTAGAGGGGAAGTGACAGCTAAAGCATGTGGTATGGAACAGTTTTCACATGCGATCGGAGGGTAAACAGCTCTTCCTCACCTACTTCTTCAGCATGTAGCGAGTTCATCGCTTACGAAGGACGAAAAACTAAACTACTCAGCTACTGTATTATCTCCTTGTCGTGATTAATTTGGGTTGGATAGCACAGTAGTGGTGACGTCGATCATCACGAACATGGTGACAGTTAGATTCCGCTCCGCGCTAACATCCCCACGGGATCGGGAAATTGGTACCGGACTTGTCCGAGAAGAAATCTCTGCACTTCAATCAGGAATGCTCCGGCCCGGCTATCTCACGACTCCAGGGGGAATCGACTTGACCGGCATACTACGACAATCAGGATGAAATGAAAGCGCTCAAATAACACCCGAAGCTATACGTAAGAATTGGAAGACCTAAGTGGATGATGGATGCGAAGAAACGACTCGATTTTGGGAAGTGCTGGGGTCTGCACAGCAGACGTGAGGGCGGGTCATATAGAAATAATTTTTAAAAAGTGTTTAATTTGAGTGTTGTTTAGACGAATTGTGTCGTCCACCAATCATTGTGAATCTAGCTGGACGTCGAAAAGTGTTCACGTGTAGTACCACACTGGAGTAGTTTTGCAGGCTTCGAGCGCATCGGTGACGAAGGAAGTAGTTGAAGAACAAAATAAATCGACTTAACAGAACGTTGAGGTAGAGCTGAATTCGCGACTATCCGTGTGCTACTCTTTCCAATGACAGGCCAGTACTTCGCAACATATGTGGAGGATTTGGAGCAGGTATATTTCTCATTAATGGAGGGGTTTAGGGGTGGGGGGGAGGGGTTTCTATTTCAGAGAGTAGTAATAGTAAGCGTGAAAATTAGATTTGCTGTCATGCTGCTGAGTGCTTTTCTTACTAGCTAAAAAGCAAAGGACTGTAAAAGGTTGGTCGTCTTACTTTATGGAGACAAGATTTTTAACTCTTGCATTGGCATTCCACTGATGTGCCAAAGGTTAGACCATGGAGGACTTCCCAGTACTCAAATTTGTATTCATTTCCAACACTTAATCTTTTTTCGTTCTTTATAAATATCCTGAAGATTATGAAAAGCTTCAGGATCCATTTGACGCGATCGACTTTGTTGAGCGTGTTGCTTGGCGAATGACAGGCGGAGCGGAAACTATCGATGATCCAGTATCACTGAAGAACAAGTTTGAGGAGGAAATAGGCAGCTTGCAAATATTGTCCGACCAATTTCAGGTTTTTTTTGCTTTTCCTTTTCAGTTGTTTGTGGCGCGTATGACGCAGTGGTGGGAGGCGCGCTGCATGGTATCTATTCCCGCGCCCAGAGCTCAGCAAGCTTTCCATCTCTCTAGGGCAAATTGGTGCCAGATTTGTCTAGGAGTATAGCAGCACTGGTTTGATACATCGGTCGGCCACCACGAGTCATTGTAACCGCCAAATATGCATTCAATCACCTCCAAACGGTGCTTAGTGAAGTTGAATGCATGGCACATCCCGCATGGTTTGATCAACGCCGATTGCTTTATTCTTTATCCTTTATCAAGATGTTCTTTGTCCATGTCTTGTTTTCAGAATAAGATTTCTATCCTCGAGCATGAACTCAACAAAGATAAACGCGAATATGTAAATCAACTACAACGGCTTTATGAGAGAAATGCAGAAGCCATCGATAAAATTAAAGTATAAGTTAATAACTTTGTTAAGTGGTTAAAATTTCGCCGAATAGTTAGAGTAATTTAAGCAGCTGGATGCGACTATGCAAACTGTATCCACGAAGGTTGTCCATCTTGGCGATCAGCTTGAATCGGTCAGTTTACCAAACATTGTGACCGAAGTTAATGTTTTTGTTATTGGTTGTATTTCCTTTATCCACAATCTCTATCATCATGTATCTAGAGGGTCTTCTCCATATAAGGTTTGTGCAAGTTAAAAGTTCGAGCTTTTATTCACTTTATAGGTTCATCAACCGAGGCAGAGAGCTCATGATGCACTCAAACTCATTCAGCACTTTGATGAGTTTCTCTCAGACCAACCTCTTAATTCTATGATTTTTACTGATCCAGACAAGGTATGTTGGCAAATTTTTTATTCCCTATGCTTATCGTTTTAATCTGTGACTTTTTCCAGCTTTTGGAGTCTGCCGACTTAGTGCAGAAACTCTACTCGATTTCGCAGGAATTGTCGAAAGAGAAGTTTCAGGCAGTTCAGGCAAGGATTGCCCACAGGTATTCATCAGTTTGACAGTTCTTTTCAAATTCGTATTTTGGCATTTGCACTCCTAAGGTACGAAGAAGTCGAGAGGTTGCTCATCGACGAATTTGCTCGGGCGCAGCGTGACGAAAAAAAGATGGCCGAAGTAGCAAAAATTCTCAGTGAATTCAAGGTAATCTTTTATCAGGAACCGGATTTATTGTTAGTGTTTAATTTCGGTCTTAGGGATATTCTCATTGCGTTGATCGCTATGTTGAATACATCCAGTCCCTCTTTCGGACAGGATCAGATGACGTATATGCTGAAGCCTTGCAACTTGTTCGAAACCACAAGTCGAAAATTGAAACGATTTTTCCAAGTCCTACGGCAGTTATACAAAAATTGGTATTTCCTATGTTTGCTTAGTTCAATATCTGGCACAATCATAGAGAAATTGTTTTTTTGGGTACCTGCTTTTAATTTTCTAGATACTAAGCCTTTATACTGGTAGACTTAAAGAGCATATTTACGCGAAGCTTAGAGATTCTAAGGAATGTGGAGATCGTGAAGGCTACCTAGTGGGATTGGCCGAGTCTTATTCAAGGTACAAGATTTCGTTCATGCTTTTCTTTAGTGAATGCATATTAGTGTATCATAGTTAAAATAAGGTGAAAAGATTTTATCGATCCTATTTTTTTATCATAAGAATACGAGTTTTCACTCAATGTAGTGTCCTTTATATTCATATCACTCCAATCTGACGTTTAACATTCTACGTACGTACTTACTTGGATACTTGGATGGCCCGTTTTCACTGGTTGTGCGTACGTTAAATACAATTTTAAACCTCGGCCAATAATTTCCGTTTTTTCGAAGTTTCGCGAGTCTAGCCATTGTGTTTTCCTGGAGTCCCGAGGTCAGCCTAGCCAAATCTGCCCCAGGTGGTTACCACCTCATGCAGTCGCAGCCCTTGCTGAACAGAGGGGAATTTCCCACTATGGGACTACTTCGATACCAGGAGGGTGATGGATCTTAGTATTGGTTTACTCTAGGCTGAGCTACCTGATGGAAACCCCGGTCTTCTTTTCAGCATAAGAGACCTTGCCAGGGGCATGAATATCCCCGCTCTACATCACAGCCCGACAACCAGGAACACCTCCCAACCATGTTGAGGCGATAAACCTTTGAGAGGCTCACTCAATATAATGCCCTTTATATTCATGTCACTCCATCCTATTATTTAACATCCTACTTTGAACATCTTAAAATTCTTGGTTCGCGTGGAAATGCATAAAGTGCTCGAATGACATGCGAATCGCTCTTTTTTTAATAATATTTTTCAGTATACTGCGGCTCAACAAAGAACTTGAAACTTTACATGTTAGTTCCGATGCATTATTTTTATCCACATTAACACGTTCCCTATTTGATCGGTATGTTGCTTAGGTATATTTTTATTCCACCACTTGAAGTTGAAAATAGCAAAATACATATGATTCCCTGAAGTGCTTCAACTCCTTAGATATTTGTCTACGTATCAAAGCGAAGAATTGGACTACCTTAATGCACAGTGTGCTAGCATTCTTCAACGGTTTTATGATTCGAAAAAACACGTGAAGAAGCAAATCCAAAGCGGAGGGTAAGTGCCCATAAGTTTTTTTTCGCATAAGAAAATGCTTGTTTGGTGCTAATAGCGATCTTCTCGCAGGCTTCAAGAGCTAAAGCGGGACGTGCAAGCTCGACTTTTGACCGTAGAAACTTACGGTGGTGAAACTTTTCTTTCCGAAGACGTTGCCATAAGTATACTTCAAGAAACAAAAAACGCCTTTAATAGAGCCTCACAGGTATGACGAATGTCTGCACTTTTATATGTTGCACATTTCGTTTATCATCGGGAAACGTTTTCGTTCAGTATGCACTACCCAAAGGAAGTTCTCTCCGTTGTGCGATCATTTCCATTGCTTTTACACATCTCTAAATATTTCATTAATGCGTCGTTTTCTTGTTCAGCAATCGCGAGGTTTTTAAACAGCATACATTTGCTTTAATAGAAAAACACAATACAATACAACACTAGCTGACGTTTCGGCAGTATCGCCTTCTTCAGAGCCTGGAATGGTATACTGGTATACAAACTACTAGGCTAAACGCTTCAATAACACTTACAAAAAGACGAAAAACTCTGTGGTAGTTACATTATCAACAACTTCTCGAAAAAGCCACCGCTTTTTCGTGACTTCCAATGAGGAAGTTTAGAACAGCTGATTATGGTCGCATATGGTTGACGACTGCACCATCCCACATCAAAAATCGATGCGAACATACGGGATCAGGTCGCGTATGACCTCCAAGCATTCGTCCCTGCTATTCATTGTAGGGTTTTTGGCATTTATCCAAAAAGCCTCAAAAAGTTTTCGCGTTAGTGTTTCAGTCTCCTGTGCAACGATATTGACTTTTACTTTTTTGAGTAATTCACGTGGTCATACAGGCGGTTACGAACTAGTTGACGGCGTAGAGTAGCCGGTGGTATTTCAACTATCGCTACCGATTCCTCTAGACCTGCCCTTCTTAAGCATCGTTTTATAGCTACGCTTACTTCATCGCTTATAAAAGGCAACATAAACAGGACTTTCTCTTGGCCAAGTGTCTCGCGAGGGCGCGTCGCTCTCCTTCCAAACTTATTTCGTGGGGTTACTATTTCGTAGCCATTGGAGATGGCTATTTACCGGGCCATGTTGCGCGATTCTTCCTTTAGTTCCCTGGTAGTGCACACAGAGGTGGCTATTCGAAACATGTTTCTCACAATCGCCCTCTTTGTGTGTGAAGGGTGGGAAGAATGGAAATGAACAAGAACGTTCTTGTTACTTGGCTTTCGATACCACTTTGTCAGGTAACCGCTACTTGATAGGTTTATTTGAACGTCGAAAGACGGAAGCCAGTTTTTTCTCGGTTTTTCCCGGGTGAACTTTATGTACTAAGATTGCTCGTTCAATAATTCAAAGCATTTGTCCATCTCCTGCTGCGTAGAGAAGACGACAAAACAATCATCTACATATCTGCAGTAGAGTAGTGGCCGGAGATCGAGAACAGGGGCTTCTATCTTAGACATAAACACAATGGCAAAGCTTGGTACCAATCGCTGTCCCATTGCCAACCCCCTTATTTGCGCGAAATATTTCCCAGACCATCTGAAAATCGAGCAGTTTAGGCAATCCTTTAAGAGAGCCATTAGCTGCTGGATGGACAAGCCATGCATATTTATTCTTCCTTCATGTTCAACAAGAAGTTCGAAGATGGCTTGCATTGCGGAGTCATTCGATACGTTGGTGTACAGTGCGGTAACGTCGAAGGACTCCATCATGTACGCGTTATTAGGAGACGCGTGGCGTAGACGTTCTAGCAACATTTGGGTGTTTGTGAGGTGAGCTGGAATGTGGTTAAGCAACTGGGTAAGTATCAGGCTTAAAAACCAGGTTATTCTATCCGTTGGCCCGTCTACACAGCTGATGGTCGGTCTAACCTTAAATGATGACGGATTGGTTGACGCATGATCATCAGGTGATACCAAATTATGTGTTTTAATAAGTAGGTATAGGACAGGACATGTTGGTCTATCGATTTTAAAGTGCGAAATAACCGATGATTTTAAACCCGCAGCCTTTGCCACGCTGACCCATTGATTGTTTAGCTTTCGATATTGACTTTTATATTCCTTTTCAGGGGATGGGCGATAGAGTGCAGCATCACTAAAATGTTCCTCTGTTATCTTAGCATCCAGCTGGCGGGGGATAACCACGAACTCTCCCCCCTTATCACTAACAGACAATCTTATTGTTTTCGAGTTTATTAATTCTCTAATTTCCCGCATGCCACTTTTTCGTGCGACTGTAAGGTTAGGGATATACTTTATCGCGGTAGTGATCAGGGGTCTTGAGAACGCCGTCCGAAAACACGCGGAATTTTATGTCAACTCCATCGTTAGGGTCCTGCTGTCTAAAAAACTTTTTAGGAGAAGGAGATAGTGGTAGTGCCGCAGCTTCTTGATTTTTATCTCTATTTCATGTTTCTTGCTTAGCCTGATAGCGGAGTCGATCTTGAAGCTCATAAATGTTCCATGCTATCCTACGCAGGGTTGTTTTAGAAATGGGCTGTGATGGTGCAAAACTTGGGCCCAATTCTAATAGCGAGCGCGCAATCAGCGCGGCTCTGAAAAAGGCGATACTGCGGATACGTCAGTATTGTGCTTTTCTATGGAAGTACATGTATGCTGTTTAAGAACCTCGCGATTGCTGAACAAGAAAACGGCGGATTTATATTTCAATGCCGAGGTTAATAGAAAGTCGATCCTGGGAACTATTTCATTAATCTCCGTAAGATTTTTGATTTTGTTTATGATCGCATGTTTGATTTCAGTTATGTGAGAAACTTGAGGTTCCTAAGCATAGTGAGAATATCTTCGATATTCTTCTCAAATACCTTTACAATGACCATCTAAATTATGCCGTTGAATTGGCTATAGCGGGTTAGTTTAGACTATCAACCGTTCTCTCATTTTCTATATATTTATTGTTGTTTGGTTTAGGGATATCTTTGGCCGAGCCTAAAGTTAGTCCTCCAGCCTATTTCTTCGCCGTGGTTGCGCAGAACACCACGATAGTTTTGTTGCTTATGAAACAGTATGAAGATTCGGTGCTTCCGCTTATAAAGTACTTTGATTTCAAGCTTTTATTTCACGATATAAACAAAGCATGCAGAAATTGAAGCAATCGGAATTTGTTTCAGAGGATCTGTTGTTGAACAGTGTGTAGCAAAGAAGTGGTCGTCGTCTTTGCGTTCGTTAGAGCAGAAAATCAACGTGGGCCTCGAAAGGCAACTAAACGCGATTGTTGGTTATGTACGATTTATCCTCTCATCTGAGCAGAAGAAAGTCGATTTCCGCCCGGAAAACCAGCAGATCAATCTTGGAGCATCAGCGGTATCTTTCGATCGATTTTTTTATTAGAAAAAGACACAGACAAAGAAAGGTTTTTTTAGCCCTGTCAGCAAGTAGTGCGCTTCCTTACATCGCAAGCGGCTGCTATGGAAAGAGGATGTGACGGAGGGAATCTGGTTGTTTTACAAAATGAGCTGGCTCTTCGCCTGTACAAACTCTTGTTGCACCACATTCAACAGGTGATTAATACTTCAAAATTAACTCCTCCATTTTCTTTCATAGCAAGGATTTTGTTCTATTGCCTTACGCGTATATATACTTAGATCCTAAAACGACTAGTTTTTACACTTTTTGCTAGTCGCAGCACCTTTCGTTTCGCGTCAGTCTCTTGCAGCTGTCGTCCACATAAACAATCGATTTCGTGTATAGCTTCTGTTTGTATTATTCTGGAACGATGGTGAATCCTACGACGGCACTGAAACCTGCCGTTAGTCGATTGTAGGCACATGAAATTTATAAGAAGTATTTTTCAAAGGTAGAGCCCAATCGGAGTAAAAATTTTCAAAAAATTGGAACTCCACTCTGAAAGTTTGAAATTTCCAGCGCTTCAGAATGTTCAGAATACGTCATTTAATCTCAGTGGAATAAAGTTCGTCAGATCAGATCTGTCGTGTAGAATTCTGCTAGACAGAGGGCGACCTGGTATAGATTCCCTGCTGATGCACCGGAATAAATTAGCTCATTGAAATGGAACTGATCTGTGGTCCGGAGTTTTGCAAATATCTTAGTATCATTATGGTTGCTTCACAAATAATACACTGCCGTAGAACTAAGAGGCAGTAAATAGAAAGTCAACATGTAAGAATAGAAAAAGTACGTAAAACAGCTTTCGGTGACAGAAATTCACTACTTGTCCCAACATGTCCGGACTTCTACGAGCATCTGAAACAGAACAGTGCAGAAAGTTTGTTCGGGTGAAAACTGAGCTCCCGTTCGAAATCGTGCTGACTTTGAAAAATGTGACAACAAATTTGTCGACCATTAGAACCATTTTCTACCGATCAGTGACGTCAGGAATCACCCGTCAACGGGATTGATCTGGGGAGCCCAAATCGGCATTGAACCCAGCTAAGCTGAGGCTGAGAACTAGCTGAGAGACAGGAGAAACGAAGTACCCGCATGGTGTGGTGGTGAGCGCGTTACTCGCCGGAAAGGACAATAGCGCGTTTGTTCCTCACTGCATACACCTGCGGTCCGGAGTTTTGCAAATATCTTAGCATCTATTCTTAAAGTTTTCTCTCTACTATGTTGTTTTCTTATTCTTTTTTCCTGTTGGATATCGCTAGTGAATAACTCGGTTTTGAATCATTCATTGGTTTTATTTATTCGTAGTTATCTTTAAGCATCACAACACTTTGTTTCTTACTCTCACCCTCTAACAAATTGGTGCATTTCAGTTTGTCTTCAACTCTGCTGGAGCAATGCTGCTGTTATGTGATCTGAACGAATATCGTAAATGTGTATCGCAATGGCGACTTGAAGCGAATATATCGAGACAGTTCGATAGTATGCATGCTCTGGCAAATCTTCTCGTAGTGCTACCGGACAATCTTTTGGATGCTGCCCATAGCCCAATGCTGGCAAGTCTAATTGACGCTACTTAGCCTTTTCTATTACCTTCTACCTTTTTTTTTACTTATTTACTTGGAGTTTTGCACTCTAGCCAGAAAATCACTATCATTAATGGTCCTTTTTTTGGTGTGTAGTTTTTGGCTTCCAACTCGAACAAAGTTGATTGCAATACGGATTTTTCCTGGAGTTGTGCCTTTCTCCGTTTTCTTCATTCGAACGCAAGCTTTGTTTTAGCTTATTTTATTTATTTATGTGACCCTACTTTGTAGCACACAAGTCTGCCATGGGACTCTTAAGCGCTTTGTCTTCTGCATGAGTGTCGTTGAATACTAGCCAAGTTGAGTCTATCCAGAATCCCGATGGTGCCTTCTTGATATAGGACTTGCTCACCTTTCTCGCTTTCTTTCTCTCTTTCTCTCTCTCTCTCTCCCTCTCTTGCAATGACAGAAGTCTTTTGACAAAATTTTATCCGTGAGAGATTAGAGGTTTTCATTTGCGTTTCAGTGCAAGTATCTGGTAGCAACTTTTAAAGCTTCCCGTAATCTATTACGCCAGTGGTTTACCGTAGGGTGGCCACGGGACTCCGGAGAACGACATTAGCTATACCACCAAAATTCCGAAAAGATGGAAATTACGCTGCGGTCCGCACAACCAGTGAAGACGGGCTATCCAAGTAAACACGTAATGTATCATTTGTATCGACTCATTAAGGAACGGGTGTCATATTTATCATTTACTGTGGCTAGTAATGGCAATTCATCATGCTAGTCCTTTTTACGCGGATGTAGTGTAGATGGGTTATGGGCCACAGTTATTTACGCAGTGAAGCCTACTATATCGCCATTTAGTGAACCCATTTCTTCTCCACCTATAGGAAAGGTCTCATTATTAGTCTGTTATACGGTATTTTTCTTCTTGTTGTTCCCTTACATGGGATTGCGTTAAATTTTATGTTGGCATGAAAGAGTCCCTATGATGCACGTATCCTTTTTATTGGTTTTCAATGAGCGACGTCCATAGCATCCCATAATTCGTATGCCTTCTCTTCGTAGTCATATGACGTCACAGACGGGAAATCCCAACTGCGACAAGTTTTTGCTGGTTGTGCTTTTTTTTCCTTTGCAATCGAGGTAGTCGCATTAGGATGTTCACAGTTTGTCACCACGTCCAGTTACATTGATCACTGTGAGAGGTGCTTTCATTGTTGCACATATTTTCGAATGGCCCGAACTCCTTGCATAAGTTCACTCATATCTCGTCTTTCTGGAAAAAATGTAGACCGCCTCAGCTTAAATGGTTCTGCCAGAGTGTAAGCCTCCTAGATATCGCAAATCCACCCTCATGGGCAGCCGAGGAAAAACAGCCTTGTTGCAATTTTTTCACCTTCCTTGAAGACTTCTAGATTCACTATCATGGGAGTTGTAGATATTGGAGTGGAATAGTCTTACTTATTGGAAATTGGAACGTTTAGGACATATAACTTATATGTGCCCTTTGTAGGCGGATGTTGACCACACGTTGATTCATGATTTTCTGAAGCTCCGTCATGACTACAGGAACCTGAAAATCAATTTTAGTATGTATTAGATAGAAACAGGCCTGAATGTTCAGTGGATCTTTAAATAAATGCATTTGTATGTGATTTTTTTCTAATAAATCTGTTTCCTCTAGTCGTTGAATGAGAACCAGTGAATGGTGTTGCATTTTATACCTCTGTGACCTTTCATGCATATTTATTCTTCATTAATTACCGTATACAGGAATTATGTCGGCTGAAGCGATCCGTATGAAAGAGGAGGGTAATCAGTGCTTCCGTGAGAAGCGCTACCACAAAGCCATCGAACTCTACACCCAAAGTCTGCAGTTAGTGGTTTCGGCTACTGTATTAGGTGACCTTTATTTGAATGGCGTTGTTACGGTATTGAAATGGAGGTTTGTGACCAGTTTCCTCCAGTCATCTCCAACCGCGTAATCGATCGGTTACTCTTGAGGCCGGGTTAAATTTTTTCTCATGATTACTGCCTTAAGATAACAGACAAAATCGATGAAAAATCTGCACATCCCGCATCCCAACAAGACGCACGTTTGTTTATTATTTGACCGAAAAATTGTAAACTTCTGGAGCTCATAAGTACTATGAAAACTCTGTTATACTTCATAGTCGATCAAAATTTTTCGTCGTAACATGTTTTCGATGGTTGGAAGATGGCATTTGCCTGGCGAGGTGCTTTAGATATGCTGGATGAGAGCGAGCTTCGTATCGCAATTATTCAAACTTTCCCAATGTTGTTTGTGCACGGGAAAGCTGCTGCAACTTTCTGAGGCAGATGTTTGTATTTCGATGCTTCACATTGTCCAGTATTGCACATAACGCCGCCAGGTTTCGTGACCAAGCGATGGATTGATTTTTTTATTGCATTGAACAACCACGCTTCCAACGATTTACCCCTTCATCGTGGGTGGGAGATGTTCTTGATTGTCGAGCTGCGATGTGCTGCAAGTGGATTTATTCCTCCAGCAGGGCCTCCCTAGCTGAAAAGGGGTCCGGTGTTTTCATCAGGAAGCCCAGTTAAGAGTAAACGAAAACCAAGATCCATCACCGTCCTGGTATCGAACTGGTCGCATGGTGGCAAATCTCCCTCTGATCCACAAGGGCGGCGACTGCCTGTGATGGTGACGACCTGGATAGACTTTGGCTAAGCTGACCTGGGGGGAGGGGAGGGTCCAGGGAATCACAGTGGCTAGAGCAACAGGGCTGCGATGAAACGGAAAGTATGCTGGGGCCCGCACAACCAATGAAGACGGGCCATCCAAGTATCCAACTAAGTAAAAGAGCACAGAATAGATTTCACAACACCGATCGTTGAGTTGTATTACTTATTTGTCCTTTTTAAACTTATACATTCGATTACGTTCCAAAACGTTTTTATTGCGCCTAATTACATGTTCTCGAATGTTTTGCTAAGCGAAAAATTAAACAACGTTTTGTTTTGAATTGAATTTAGGAAAACAGGTATTAAACCTGCGGTGGAAAAGCTTCTTGACTATTTCTTACAGGAAATCGAGCGCAGTGCTATCTGAATTTGGAGCGGTGGTCGGAGGCTCTCATGGATTGCAACTGTGCACTGGAGTTAGATCCCAATTTCGATAAAGCCTTATATCGGTCAGGATTTTGTATTGATTGGCTGAATTCTAGACAAAATCGTTTTGCCTGTTTATCTCAGCTACGAATTTGTTTTAAGAAGAGCACTTGTGCTAGAGCATATCGGCTTAAAAGCTTCTGCTATCAAGGATTTGGACCGCTGTTTAGCACTGAAACACAGCGTGGCTGCGCAAGCACTGAAGGAAAAGCTGAATAGTGGGGTGAATAAGTATTATTTTCGAATATGTTTTATTTCTACACTTTCAGTTATTAAGCATCTTGATAAAACTGTGATATTCCCAGCGTGATGCTGAAGTCATCAAAGTGGAGTGCGTAGAAAAAGGGGACGAAATTCGTTCTGATTCTGATTTTGCTGAATTTGTGATTGATGTACCTCGAGATTTCAACGATGACCACGCAAAGCAGGTTAGTGCTATTCAGATTTAATAGGACATTTGTCGATATTCATTAAAAACTCACCATATTAACAAGTTTATTTAGCTAACTGTTTTGACAGTACTCTCTAACCGTTATAGAGAATTAATATACCTATGAGAACTCCACAATTGATCTGGAAACGATTGATATATTTCCGTTTATTTCAGGACCCCACTAACAATTTAAAAAGTGTTGTACCTGATGTGATTCGACAGTTTGGTGTACCAACTACCCATAGGCAATTTCTCAAGGATTATTACGAATTGAAACTTTTGCCACCAGAAAGATTTGCTACTTATTTCTTGGTGAGGGTTTTTTTCGTCTTTCGTTTGCGTGGCTTACAATTACAATTTTTCACCAAAAGTGATTTACTCAAGTGTTTATGGTTACAATCCATGAAGTCTCTTCATTTCTTCGGAGATTTCCCTTATCTTTATTTAAGACCGAGAATTCTTATGGTGTTGCATGTTTTCTCAACGGAAATTTCGCGTGAAAGTGCTAAGCTGTTTTGTTGGAAATTTTCTGGAAAATAGTTCTTTTGTGCGTAAAAATCCAAAAACAGGCGCCGCAGCCCAAAACCTTTACCGATTGTTGTTGAGCACCACCAAGTCCAGGTAGAGATGAAATCGCTCTTGCTGGAGTGTAGTACAGTTGAAGTTGCAAGGTTTGTTGTAAAAATTAAGTTCCATAGTATCCAGAAAATCACTCCGGTGAGATTGAAAGAATTGCGTATTCTTTGCAAAAATGCGAACTTAGCGAAAAGATGTGCCAAAGTACAAAACTTGAGTGTTCATGTACAAGCAGGCTGGTCTTTGTGCACTTCCCAACGGCAGTGGTCTTTATAGTGCCCCGTCTTCAGTAGTAACACTGTTTCACATCGAAATAAACTTTCAAAATTTTTCATTAGTTATTGAATGTAGAGAGGTAAAGAGTAGAGTTTATCGACCGAACTCCAAAGCTCTGGTATCTTTCGGGCGACAATGCGAGTTAATAGAAAAGTGCTCTAAAAATCCGTTTGACAAAGAAAAACGATATGAATTGAAATCCATTGTCGTTGTGCTCCAAGTGTTAGAGCTATGAATCTTTTAAGTGGTTTTTATTCACTATATGTTAGAGGTTATTTTTATTATTTATGTGGTACAGATACGGTTAACGTGTATTTTAGGGGATCCCAAGTTCCAGATATTGCTCATTGTTTGGCGAGCTTTTGGAATGGGAAATGATCAGTCGACTCCTTCGAGGTTTCGTTTGCCTTCTTCAATCTCAGAATTGTTCAGCGTCAGAAGTGTCCCATTGCCTATTATCAATTAGTGAAATGCCTCGATTCAAACTCCAAGTGATGTTTTTTGAAGATGATGAGAAGAGAGGTAATTTTGTTCTTTTAAAAGTTTTTGCTACCTTTGTAATACTATTCTTTAAGTATAGTAGTCATAGTAATATCATTAGTAATTATAGTAATTGTGTAATAATAGTACTAGGCATTGAGCATTCATTAGAATAATTGCAAACAGTAGTGAAGTACAACTAATCTCTGATACACATTTAATGGTCAGTTTTCAACAATATTGTACGACAATTAAATCTCTGAGAAAGTGTATAGATATGTTTACCGTGTGTGTATTGAAAGTATAACAAATGTCGCGGGATGAGGATAGCTTTGACCGATATGGTTCCCATATGTCTCATCGTGTGAGCGGCCTAATATTAAGCGTTGCTCCACATACACACCACTCATAATTTGGCGGCAAAATGAGAACTATCTAAAGTGGACATCATTTTCCAACACTATACAAACTTATTTGCTTTGGCAGCATAGATTTCTGAGGTTTTGGAAGAGGAAAATTCTTCCAATGCGTTTCCAGTTGTGGTTTGTATGCTAAAGAATATGATGAATGACAAGGTTTCGTCGCTTAACTCGTCCAATTTCTCATCGTTCTTTGTACAGTATATGGTTGAGCATTGTCCTGCGAGTCGTTTAAACTTATTCTCCCCTCCAAATCTAGATGTATGCGTTTTTGTTTCCGTATTCAGTTGCGACTACATCGGTTTGACTTTAGTTACGTCCTCCCAGCATGCATGTCGTAGTCCTAGGCACTCCTGCATGCTCGTCGAGTCCATTCTACGCTTTTCTCGTGCTTCTGTTGTCTGTTCTTCCATGTATGGTCCACCCTGTTTCGTTATCGATGATTTCTAAGATCAGAGCGTGTGCCTTTTATATTTCAAAAGATATCATTTAAGCGTTCTATGAGTAATGCGCAGTATACTTGACATGCTTAACGTATCAGCTCATCTCTGTGCTTCATAACAGCACCGAAAGGACCGTCGAATCGAGGTGAGCGCGAATTTTCGCGTCCTATAGTTGGTCGTTAGCTTCTTTGAGAGGTCCAAATGCAACCCTGGCTACTTTCCTTCTTCAGTCTAAGTCCTTCATGTTGTTCGTGTTAATTGAACGCCCGAGCTAAACGTACGAGGTAGTCCCTGTAATCACAGGAACCATCCAGTTTGATCTTTTCGCTTCGCACCATGGGTTTTTCATGAACTAGGTCTTTTTCCGATTTATGCGCTGTTTCTTTTTGCAACCTTTTTCATGATTCGTTGAGCTCATTGTTCATCGACTCTGCTTCGTTGCTGCTTCTTGAGAAGATAACGATGTCGTATGATATATATGATTGTAGAGTACCACTCAACAGGCATATCGGACAATAGTTATAAAGATCCCTTTGGTCACGTTTTTGGACACGATGACCGCGCGCAACGTCCACCACTAGTCTGTGATTTTTTCCTATTGAAGGTGGGACATCATATGGTTTGCGAGAAGTACACGTAAATTGTGACTTCCAGCTGTAAGGAAAAAGACAGTGATATGTTAAGGTCTTGGATCTGTGCCTTTTTTCCATGCTTTCTATCTCGCTAGGACCTCAGAGAAGAGGTTTCTGTGTGGTTCCTCTCCAGCAGGTATAGGGTCTGAAATTGGGATTGCGGAACGAAAATGGTTGGTTTAGAACTCTTCCGTAACCAATTCCATATTATGGCGAGAGGTTTCGGTGATCCCATCTTCGTTTACCAGAATTGATAGCGGAACATTGTAATCGTAAAAGTTTAGCAGGTATGTTTTCAGACTGTTTATTTTTGTGCTGCTTCCAACAATTTCTTCTGCCTTTACGTATGTAAATCTTGCTGCAAAGCTCTTCTTCAACCGAGTTTTATTACTAACCGTGTTATGCGTGCTGCAGTGAAATGGAATTTCCGTTTCCTTCTCCTCTCCATCAACTCCCTAGTGATACTAGAGATGCGATCTGATCTTCTCGCTTGTGGAACTGGGGCGAATGCAGCACAGCTTTTGTCGTTTGACAAGCACCTCTCTATCTTCTGTCGGCTCCTCTTTAATCTGCTAGTCAGATCTTGATAGGATTCCACCCAGAATGCTCTCGTAATAGATAGTTTGATTTTTTATCTTCGCCGATGATATGGAATGTTTTCCATCTTATGACTGAATTCAATTTTATCGCAATGAGGCAATAATCAGAACGGGTACAGAATTATGGGACTAGTAATTTCTCAAGTAGGCACCATCTTCCGTTTGTCAGAATATGGTTTATCTCCTCACGAGTAGTGCCGTTAAGAGACTACTATGTCCAGTAATGGCTTTCTTATGGAAAAACGGGTTTCCATGGAGTAGACACGTTAGAGACAGGAATACTGCAAGACGATTTCCATTCTCGTTTCTTTCTCCTAATCCAGACTTTCCGACCTTGTACTCGTTGTCGTTAACCTCTCCTATTCTGACATTGAAGTCTCCGACGACAAATTTATGATACGCTTTATCATTGTGGAGAACTTCTTCCAACAGGCAATAAAATTCATCCAACGCGCAATAAAATTCAATAATTTGTACTCATCATTCACACCCGTTGGTGAGTAGCCAATGATGATAGTGATTTTCTTATGACGC